TTCCACTTCCCCACTGCCTCCCAGTTTTTCCAAATACCAGCACGAAATTCCTCTCTAATTTACTTCTTGAAGATACAAGCTAATGGGCAATTAAAAATACAAAAGAGAATTTAGGAATAACTGTTTTCTTTTAACAGCTTCCATCCCATTAAAATATTTTGCTGTTATAATGCCTACAGGGATTATCTCCAGTTGCAAGAGAACAAAGAAAATAAACACTGAAAAATTATCTAAATAAGCCACAATATTTTGAGAAAAGTTACCGTCGTGCTGTTGGACCTTGGAAACTTGCATCAAAATATGTGAGATATTGCTCAGAAGTCAGTTTTGCTCTTCAGTTCTATGGCTAGAAACCATAATAATACCAATGTCTGCAAGTACTGCCTTTTCTTTTTTACATCAGCAAATTGCATTGGTAACACTATTACAGCTCCCAGGGCAAAGTCCACCACTGCCTCCACTTGTTTATGCTTTCAAACTATTAGCAAACAAATATTAAAGTAAATAAAAAGGGGGGAATAAACTACAGCATTAACATATGATCACCTACGTGGAACTGTAAATAAAAATACAGAGTCATTTTTAATGGGGGGAACAACAGCTACTGCTAAGTTTGTTTATAAAGGAGTCTGGTTCTCTTCCAAGTTTCACGTTCCAGCCTGAAAATAACTTCTTAAAACAGCTGTCAGGTTTTTTTGGGAGGAGGGAGAATGATCTACCAGCAAATACGACCTTTCTTCAGAGCACACAAGTTATCGTGGGTAGTGGCTTGGGCTTCACTGAGAAAATTCAACTCCCTCTGTGGCTCCTAAAATCTGCAATCAAAAAGGAAAAAAAAGAGCATCTGGAAAAAAAAAAACTAACCTTCATGGAGAGCTCATGAAATAGAGACACCACTGTCTCCATGCTCTGAGACCATGGGAATTAATCATCTCCCACCAGGCCAAAAATCAATTTTCCTTTCACTTCAGTTCTTCTAAACTCCCAGTTTCTCCACACGTGGGGACACGTTCACAACAGAAGTACTCACTTAACCAGCTGTGGTAAGCAGCCTCTGTATCCAAACAGTCAAATATTAGCTGGATATATTTACTGAGTCAACCACTTCTACACCTGGCACAGGTAGAGGCTCTTCCACGTTTTAAAAGTCTTTGAATTTACTTTGGGGAGTGCAAAATAAGAAAAAGCATCTTAGATTTACTGCTGCTACTGCAGTATGGTCTTTCCATCTCCAACATCCAAAAAGCTCAGTTCTGGTAAACGAAGCAGCACAAATCACCCCAGATGTGAAGCAGCAGCAGAAAACTTCAGATCGTTAAAGAGTCACTTCCTTCCAAAAAAATGTCACTTAAATCCCCCCTCTCTTCTAGAACAAACATAACATTGCATAAGAAAGGTAAATCATTATCTGTTTTGTGTTAAAGAAAAAAAAAAAAACTTACTGAAAAATATTGTTTCTAATGCTGCTGTGCTGACCCTGCCATCCTTCATCCTGTTTTTGGAATGACAGTGCCTGGTATCCCCACAGTCCCCCTTCTCTTCTCATTCTAACACTGGAGTGCAGATTTAACTTTTTTAAGACTGCAAATTATTTTATGAAGGCCACAGTAAAAAGTGCAATTCTCCCCTGTATGTCCCCTTATTTCAACATGGGGTGAAAAATGCCACAGAAAATGTGGAACTGTGATGGGATATAAGAAAGGATTCCCATCTCAGCACAAAAAGAGTATCTGCAGAAAACAGTGACCAAGCCAGACACCGTGTCCCATGGAACAATAATACTATTTTTATCTGCTCACTATTTAGTCTATTTAACTCTCCTCCAGCAGCAAGCACCTGGATTTCTGGAGAAACCTCAAAATCAGCGTTTTGGGAATCACTGTCACCAAAACATTTAGCACCATTTCTTATCAATAAATGAGCTCATGCCCCTGCCTCAGCACAGACCAGCACTTCACATCCCTTATCTGACCACAAAGACAATTTAGAAGTGAACACATGTGTGACTTCTTGGGATTTAAACCCGATGTTAGGAACCCCACAGCAGAACTAGAGCAGAAATCTCAGTTACAGCAGGGCAACGCTTCGTCGTCACCTCTTCAGGATGTGTCTGGTAAAGCTTCACATTAAAAAAACCTCACATTAGCAACTGTCAAACTTCACAGAGCAGGAAACTGAAGTCAGGTATTCCTGAGGTTTGTTAGAGGAGGCAGGAACACCACAAAACACAAACACCGAGACCCCCCCGACAACATCTCGAACTGGAGCGTGACTGGGGAGCACCCACCTCCTCTGGCAGGTTATTGAATGGGCGCGGCCAAGAAATCATACATTCAGACAGTCAAATATCTAGACAAAGGTTTTTTAGGAATGGGCTCCACAGGTAGAAATCAGGAGTTTATTAATTAGGAAAATAAAAGGACTCTAGAGTTTTCAAACCAGGCACTCGGCTCACTCTCACCTCAGTATCCACGTACAGGTAACACACCTTTAATGCACACAAGTTACTCAAATGCCTGGTGATCTTTCCAGTCCCTGTACTGTGCCCATGGGGTAGATTTTTATCGCCTGACAAGGGAGAGAGTAAATACTAGAGAGTAAAATTTCATCCCTTGTTTGTTACGGGTCAACTATATATTACCAAAGGAATATCTAAATGTATACAGATCAAGACATTTATTTGAGGCTTTCTTGAAAGCAAAAGGGTTTTTTCTTCAATTTAGGGGACAGGGCAAAGTCACATCAGGAAATAAAAAAAAAAGGTCAGAAAATGAGAACTATTCCTTTGTCCTGCAAGGTTCTAACAGGCTCAGCCCCACTGGCTCTCAGCACCTGACAAGCCCAGGTAGCAGCACAGGGTGCTTAATTAATTCAATACTGCTTCTTGTCCAAGAAGTGCCTCAGTAAATGCAGATCAAAGGATGAACCCTTTCAACGACCATGTGATACCAGCTACATTTCACTGGTTCATTCTCCATAAGATTGTCCTCCAGTAGTCACTGCAGCAGAGCTGTAATTTTATATATGCACTGGAAGGACAATAAAAACTCTCATAAATACTGCTGGCCATCCTTCTTCTGACTCCAGAGTCTGTGTTTACAGCTGGAACTCCGTGTTCATTGCCCAGAGAAGCTGTGGCTGCCCCATCCCTGGAAGTGTCCAAGGCCAGGTTGGATGGGGCTTGGAACAACCTGGGCTAGTAGGAGCTGTCCCTGCCCATGGCAGGGCAGTGGGATGGGCTGAGCTTTAAGGTCCTCTCCAACCCAAACCATTCCATGATTCTCTGATTTTATACTGAATCACCTAAAACCAGCAGCAAACACTTTGAGAACACCATTTTGCTTTACTTGTATTCGTGAAAGTCATTGGCTGCTTTTAAAGTTGTCTTATTTAGATAAGCTATAGGCAGGCTCAATGTAAATTAAATGCAGATCCTGAATGGAGTGTTATGTATTTTCCTCACCCAGGCTGTTGTGTTACCATAATGTCCCTAAGATCACATTTAACACACACACAATCACGTTATTTCCACAAATCAATAATTCTGCTGTTAATACCAACTGGCTCTTCTTTAAAATTGCACAATCATAAACGCAAACTTTTAACAAGTGCCATTTGAATTCAGAGGATTTAGTGTTTAAAAAGCTGCCCCAAACACTGGTGGGTCATGGTCCAACTCCTGAGCTTACTAAGCAGTGCAAGAATTACCAAATCCTTTGCTCCAAAAGGGTTAGATAAATAACACACCGTCAGCATAATCCAACTGCAAAGCCTGGTCTGTAACAGCAGCAGCAGAACTCACACTAATTTATGACCATCTTGGCTGCACACTTGGTTATGGCTGATATTAGGTTCATATAACTCAAATTCATAATCTAAATCCCAAAATACATCTGTAATACAGTTTATTCAAATGTTTTGCAAATACGCTGCTTCAAAGAAGCACTGGGGAGGGTGGAAGCCGAGCAGGCAAATATCCTAACTTGGAAAAACAAAATCTTAATCTGAATTTTAAGGCAACTTCCAACTTTGTCACCTCCTGAAATCTTGGAAAGAATTAAATGCATAACAGATGTACTCCATTTTAAATATAGCCACATCACGCACGCGTTTTTTTAGAAAACACTGTGCCTGCTCAAAAAATGCCTTCCCGTATGGGCTGATTCACTGTCAGCACCCAATCACGGACACAAAATCAGCACTGACTCCGGCACAGCAAAGAGCCACGGCCAAACAGCCTCTGTCCCTGAGCAGGGATAAGCAACACAGCACAGGGGTCATCCCAGAGCTTCGGCAGGGCTGGGAACACAGCACCTTCCTCTCGCTGTCCTGAACCCGCACGTTTAAAAAGCCCGGCATCCTGGATGCCCTGAAGCTCCCACCTCCTGTTACCAACAGGCTGGTTTTATGATGCTCCCCATTAAATGCAGAGAGCTAAGCAGAACGTTTATTCAGAAGTGCCACCCAGCTGATGAACACGTAGCCATTCGTGCTGCAAGAATTAAACACGGTTTCCAAGCCGAATAAACACGGTTCAAGCATCTGATTATGGAGAAGTAACAGCCTGTGAGGACAACTCAGAGTATTTTCACATAACAAGTATCCTAAGAATGCACACAGTTACTGAAATGCTCTACATACACACATGTATATGGGGGAAAAGAGACTATTTACAAGGGCATGTAGTGACAGGACAAGGGGCAACGGCTTCAAACTGACCGAGGACAGGGTTACATGGGATATTGGGCAGGAATTCTTGTCCATGAGGGTGGTGAGGCCCTGGTACAGGTTGCCCAGAGTATCTGTGGCTGTCCCATCCCTGGAAGTGTCCAAGGCCAGGCTGGACAGGGCTTGGATTCACCTGGGCTAATGGAAGGTGTCCCTGCCTGTGGCAGGGGGTGGAATGAGATGAACTTTAAGGTCCCTTCCCACCCAAACCATTCCATGATTTTATGACTGAGCAGTTGTGGATGTCAGCAGGACACGCCGGAGTTGCTGTGAAGGGTCAGTGGCTGGGCTGAGCTCCTGCGAGTTCAGAGGGGTTTTGTGGTGTAAAATCCCATCTCCCAACTCAGCAGGTGAGAGAGCTGTGCTGGGGAGGAGGAAGAGCTTTGTGTGAATTCCCTGTACAAGAGTGAGGCTGATAAAGTGAGAATGGGGTGGAATGGGATGAGCTTTGAGGTCCCTCCCAACTCAAACCATTCCATGATTCTATGAACACAACAGCTTTATGTAACCAAGATTTTTGGACTTATTTGTGGAAAACTATTGCCAAATATCAAATTAAAGTATCTGACACAGGTAAGAAAATGTGACTTCAGTGAAGACTAGCAGACCTTTGTTTATCCCTGTATCCACAGCAAATTCCAGTAGCAGCAAGGTTTCATAACCAAAGACGTATATGTGACTTTAACATCCTCAGCAGAAAAATTCAGTTACTGATCGTTATGGATTCCAGAACCTCGGGTGAGGCACGGGGTGTGTGTGCTTCTCTTAAACGGTTTATTGGAATTATGAAACAACTTACAATAAATTTTCTCATCCTCACGTGGTATTTTTAAGAACGCTCTCTGGTTCTAGTTGATGCCACATTGCCAAGCAGCAACTAAAACATCAAATATGATTCATATTTTCTCATCAGTGCCTTATAGGTACATGATGGAGAATCTCTTTCATAACCTGTATCTTAGTAGCAAGATCAGTCCCAAATAGGGAGTCAGCCAGAGCCAAACAAGTTCCTGGAAGGGACCTCAAAGCTCATCTCGTTCCACCCCCCTGCCACAAGCAGGGACACCTTCCACTAGCCCAGGTTGCTCCAAGCCCCGTCCAACCTGGCCTTGGACACTTCCAGGGATGGGACAGCCACAGATACTCTGGGCAACCTGTGCCAGGGCTTTACCACCCTCATGGACAAGAATTCCTGCCCAATATCCCATATAACCCTGCCCTCAGTCAGTTTGAAGCCATTCCCTCTTGTCCTGTCACTCCAGGCCCTTATAAATAGTCTCTCTTCATCTTTCCTGCAGGGTCCCCTCAGGTACTGCAAGGCTACAATTAGGTCACCCCAAAGCCTTCTCTTGTCCAGGTTGAACAATCCCAATTCCCCTAAGCCTTTCCTTGCAGGAGAGATGCTCCATCCCTCTAATCATCTTGGTGGCCTCCTCTGAACTCGCTCCAAATAAGAACCAAGTTTTAAACACTGGAAATAGATGGGAAAGGTTACAAAAGCCTTGGATCAAAGCCTGATTATCTCCTGGTACAGTCACTGCACCAGGGCCTGTGACACAGCAGAGGCTCCATCTCCCTCCTGGAATCCTGGGGCTGTTTCTGAGCGCAGGCCCAACACAGACCTCCTGGAAACACGGACAGCATCACACTGTCCAAACAAAGGAAATTCAGAGCTGGTGTTGTACCTGGTCCCCTTGCAAATCATGCCCTTACAGGAACATTTCCTCATTACATCCTGCCTGTGACACTGCTCCTGTCAGGCCCTGAGCACTTCCACAAGATTTATCTGCTGGCCATTCGTCCAAGTCGGTCAGAGGTGAGAGACACTCAGCACCTTCAGGACGGACTTCACGTGTTCCTTCAACACGAGTTAAGGGAGGCAAGAACCTGATTCCAAGAACTACTGGGAACAGCTGTGGAAAAGCTTCCCAGAAGGGTCTTCTGAAAACGGCACACCAAAATTTCACATCTATTCCATCTATCAGGCACATGCATCTAAGTCAAACACCAAAGCCGCACGGAAAGGATTCCATTTCTGACTCAAACATCCTTATTTATCCAATGAACATAAAGAATTAATATCAGAAGCAGAAGTTTTCCTACATTTCCTGTGGGCTGAGTCAATGTTTCATAGCATGTTTTATTTCAATTGCAGACTTTTTTTTTTTTTGTGGGGTGGAGTGTTTCTTGTGGGGTGCTTTTTTTCTTTTGCTTATTGTGCAGTTAAACACAGTCAACCCAACTATCACCATTTTGGCCCTTAAAACATAATTAATTGCTAATATTGGTAGTATTGTTTATCCGTAGCTTTGCTTTCCACTTTTCCCTCTTCTCTCTGCTTAGAGGAAAGAAAAGAATTTTCCTATCAAGGCCTACAAATTAATAACACCAGAAGGAAATTAAGTCTTTATAAACAGAAACAGCTGGATTTGGATGCATTGGGACTCTCTTTGTGCATGGCCCCTCTGCCCCCCTTCCAGTGGCAGGACCTCTGGTTTAAGGAATCATGTGCCCAGCAGGAGCTCTGGGAATTCCAGCCCATGACGACATCCACACAAACAGATCTGAATTAACTTCAGCTGAAGGGGGAAAAAAAAAAAATCAAAAGGAAGCAAATTGCTCTTTCACTTGTAGATCATCAAGATGTTACTTTTCCTTTGTCTGCATGTTCCTGTGCATGTCAAGCAACAGGCAGAAGGAAAGATCCCATCACCAGGCTTGTGGACTTTTATTCTGCCAGTTCCTCTGCACTGTGCCAATTTTGGAGATTTTATAAACAATGCTATTTTATGACAATAACGTGATTTCTAAATTTACCAAGTCATGTTGCAGAGAACAGTTTTAGACGTGCAACAAGAGGAACAGCAAGTGCTATCAGTGAAATAAAGACTTGCAATATACTCGTTATTTATATGTTTTGCCAAGAATTCCCACAGTAAGTTACTGTAACAACTACAAACCCAAAAAATTTACAGGCAGTTGTGAGGGACATTTTGATCCTCAGGGATGCAGGCTGAAGAAATACATCTAGAACGTTTAGTCCTTTCACAAAGAAATTTCAGAGCCATGAAAAAACACCAATCCCCAAAGCCATATATCTCGTAGGCTTACTGCTCAAGGTTAAAACGTTTTTTGGGAGGGGGGAATGAAAGAAAGTATTAATTTGATGAAAACAATTTGGCTTGTAAGGGCAGTACAGATCTCTGGGGCAGTCCAATCCTGACAAATGCCTCTCCAGAACCACCTAACCAGCCAAATCTGTCCTGCTGCCCAAGACAACCTGTGCCCAAACATGACCTCTGGGGAAAGAACGAGCTGTAAGGCCCTGGTACATCCCCATCCCTGCTTCTTTTCCAACTGCCACTTGGTATTTTCACAAATTATTACTTGGAAGCAGGCAGCTACACTTTCAAACCCTGCACGGCTCCTCTTTAAATCGAGTTCCAACAATTCCCTCCCTCAAACCTATGAAAGAGCCATCACAATAATGCAAACTTACATAACAGAACCTGTTAAAATGTGTTAATGAGGCTATATTGACTAGCTGGCTTCCTTGCAAGAGCAACTCCCACTGGAAGTTAAAAATTTAAAAACTAGGAAAATTTTTTTTTCTTCTTTTCTTTTCAAAGGGCAGAAATGAGAATGAAATCACCTAAAAATAGCTGAGAATTTTCAAGTGTCAGCTGTAACATAAAGAGGAATGGCTGTCTCTCCTTACAGAGCCAGGATGGATGGAGTGAGCTTGTCATTCAGGATCAAGACAGAGAGAGCTTACACACAAATTGTAGATGGTAGGAAATAATCCTAATTTCCTAATTTTAATAATATTCCGGGACAATCCACAGCAACTTGAAATCCAGTGAAATTGTACTTTGTTTAAAAGTGGTGAATGTAAATTCTTATATCCTTTGCCTGCCAGAAGGAAAAGTGAAGTACATATTGTGAAATAACTGCAAAAAAAAAGGTTTTAAACAACCCATTCAAATCATGCATCCTGCTCATGACAGAAGATGAATATAAACTATGTGTCTTTGACTTTGCTTTGTCTTTTCCATCAATCTTTTTTCCCCCAAAAGCCACCATGTCAAGGCTTTTATTTATAGAAGACATTCTCTTGCATTTAAATAGTTTCCTATCTCTGAAGATTTACTGAAGCAAACAGGGAGAAGACAGCTCAGATTTGTAATTTGTAGGGTACCTGTGGACATGGCAGCACCAAGATTTGGGGTAGCCAGATAGAAATCCAGGGGAGAGACACTGCAGATGACAACCCCAGAATGCAGCAGAAGCCACGGTGTCCCTCTGGGATCACAGGATCCCGGATTTCAGGGCTCACCTTTCCCATGGTCTGGAACGCAGCTCTGCTCTGGCCTGGCTCACTGCAACTCTTGCAGGATGTAAATGTTTGAGGTCTATTGAAACTGTTCCTCCACTCCACAGGGCTCAGACAGGGCTTGAACAGGCAGAGCTGCAACACTTCACCCCCAGGCCAGCAGCACTGCCTTGACTTTCTTGTTAATTAGTGTCAGGGCATGACAAATTAAACCAGAGCCCACGTTGTTAAATGGAGTGTATGGTCAGGGTCAAGCTCCATCCCCTTCAAAGGCAAGAACCTCATACAGATTCTAACTATGCTCAGAATTTTTTTTTCACTGGGTCCAGTCAAATTAGCCCATAAGTATGACACAAAGAACTCAAAGTCTCAAACACTGTCCAAGTTTCCTGTAAATAATAAAAACAGCTGAAGTGTGAGTAATTTTTTAATTGAGATGTTTTTCTACTTGGTCTTCAACAAATCAAGTCATGAGCAACTGAACAAATCTTCTTCACAATCTGGAGAAATTGTGACCTTCCTGCCCAGGCCTGGCAGCGAGCTGAGCAGTACCTGCACACATACATGGGTTTATTACAGAAAGTTATCATTGCATTGTCAAATATTTAGAAAGCTCAATAATCACTAGTTTAAGGTACTTAACTACAAAGTTCTTTCCTTTGTTTATAGCTATGAAAGACATCTTCACTGGGTAATGACTTGACAAGAACCTGGTTGAGCAACTATATTCACTATTTACCTCCTTTTTTTCTTGCTATTACATGGTAAAATTACAGATCATGTCAAAATGTTCCATCAGTGCAGAATTTGCTTCTCCCTGGCAATATGCCTTCATGCAAATTACCTCTAATTATAATTCTTTATCTGTCACCGTGCACTTTTCATTTTTGAAATACAGGAGCGAAGTCAACTTGTATATGATACCTTCTTTTCAGTCTCACACATAAGATCATGAACCACTACCTCAACAAGAAGTTAACAGGTCAGATTATATAAATCTGATAAAACTGACTGGTCGCTTACATTTTCTGTCACTGTCAGCATGTGGAATTCTGTTTGGGGGAAAATGGAAATACATATACATGCTTGATTCATTACCACTTAAAACAATGGACATTTGTTCTATCTATTTCTGCCTGACTGTCGGATTAGTATCAGAACACATGAAATCCACAGTTATAATGCCTGCCACGGAAAAAGCCTGTATCTTAAGGTTTACATTTATGGAACATGATGAAACTAGAGGATGGACAGAAAGACCTGCACAGCAGCTGGCAAGACACAAGTACCTTAACCCCCCTTATTCATCCCAAAAGCCTCCCTGGTCAGAGACTAAAGCTGCTCTCAGCCCCAGAGCAAAGCCAAATGCATGAAGAGCTCTGCAGAGCCATCCTGCTGGCACGAGCACAGACCTTCTAGATTTACACTGTGCCCAGCAGGCTGGGCTCAAAAAGCCAAGGAAAACTTTCATCTGATCTCTCCTCTACCTATGAACTTCCAGAAGCACATGACAGCTACAAGTCTCCTGTGCACAGGGTTGGTAAAGGGCACAGAAACAGGGCAGGCAGAGGAGAGTTCACTGCCATCGGGGGGTGATCGTGGTCTCCCCTGATCGGCTGCAGAGGGGAGGAAAGGAAATAAAATTCAATGACTTATCTCTTCCCAACCTTACCCAAGACTTTTGTCTTTCAGGAACACCCATGCAGTGCTCCCTGTAACCCAAACATGAAGCAGCAGCAGAGTATCAAGTCACCAAGCAGTGCTGTATCCCACGTGCCACGGGAAAAGCATCCCACGGGTCACAGGTTGCCATCCTGTAAAGAGCCAGGCTGTTTATGGAGTAAAAGGCTTCAGTATAGAGCAAAATGGTGACTTTTGTAACTAATTTACTAAAGAAGTGCTTAAAATTAAAGGAAACATGGAGAACAGTAAAAGACAACACATCAAGCTGGAGATCTTTCATAACCTTTATGAGGAACCAGTGGCCACAGGTGAGTTTTCCTGCAGTAAGTGCTGTAAAAGCCAACCTTCCTCTGCCACCAGGCACAGCTCAGCCAGGTGATGGAGGGCACAAGGATCCCTTTGCATTTTTCCCCATGATGAAATAAGGGACAAAATCCGAGAGAAAAGCGTGGTTATATCGTGTCAAGGGCTTCTAACAGAAACACAGCAGCAAAGCCACTCCTTGAGGCAAACTGAACAAGATGTGTGGCTGCAGAAAGTTTGGGAATTATTTAGAGGATCAGTGAACATGCAGAGGCCCCAAATGAAATGGTGGTTCTGCTTGCTATGCTCTATAAACACAGAGAAAGCATTCTTGCCCCAACGTGCTTACGTATTTTGAGCACTCAAAAAACAAGATGCTGGTGACCCTGGTATTTCTGTAAGAGTTGCTGGCTGGTAAATAGCAATATTGTGACCTCCCAAGTAACAAGAAAGAGAAAGGCAAACAACCAAGAAGAAAAGAGCAAAACAAAAATATTTCCATAAGCAGAACTTTTTATATCCCAAGAGGAGATATCTGTCTCCAGAGCTCAAAAGGGACACATTAACCTGTGCTATGAGACTTCAATAAATTTATTTGCTAGGAAGCTCAGCAAGGAAACAGAAAAAGTGAATTGTCTCAAATCCTACAGCAAAATTATTATGGAAAATATAACTGAACTGATGGCTGGGGTCTATCTGTGTACCTCAAAAAATCAGTGCAACGCTGCTCTCCTGTGCTCCCCTCACATCCAAGGGGATCAGGTGCTGTGAAAACAGAGGCCCACCAGAAACAGGCAAAAATATTGTAAGGCATCACTGGCTCGCTCTTTGTTGGTTTGTTTTAGACACCATCTACTTAATTCCAAAGTCAGAAACGGGAGGGAACACATCAGGGCCCCACTCTTGCACTAAGGAGCCAAGGAAGCAAAGGATGGAGAAAAGATGTTCCCATCCTAAGATTTCAGTGAACCACAAAACAGGAAGAGAAATTTAGTTTTGCCTGGTCTACTCCAACGAACAAGGCGAGCAGCACTGGGACAACCTGGGGTACATCCACCTGAGTATTCCCAACGGGACGGGGAGCAGGGCTGGGAAGCAGTTGGCCCAATCCACCCCTCCTCACCCTGCTTTGGTGCCCGCTGGAGAGCCGTCCCTGGATTGCTGCTGGGTGAGCCGAGCCAGAGGACTCGCTCCAGGAGCACGCCTGATGTGCTCCAACCACAAAGGTGCTTCTGTTCCCAGAGCCATCCAGGAGCAGCGTCAGGCAGGAGTCCTGAAGGGTAACACGGACACCGCGGCCTCGGCACCTCCCAGTTTGCTCTGGGAAGAGTTTACTTGCCCTTGTTGACTCAGCCTCACAAAGATACTACGAGTGCTGCGGCAGCTCAGACAATTAAGAGATAATATACTAGATATACTACATAAAAAATAGGATATAATTAAGATACCAGAGGTTGAAAGGAAGCTGAGAAGTGAAGTACCAGTAGGGAAACAAAGCTTATGGCTGTTATCTCCACAGCATTTTTATACTTGAAGAAAGTATGAGGTATGACATAATTAAACAACCACAACAAACTTCCTCTTCTCTATCACTACTATCAACAGATTCTCAGGGAAAACAGTAAAGCAAAGCTTCCTAACAGCACCTCCATTCACAGAACCGAGCAGGTGCTTGGCAGAGAACAATTAATTAACAAGTGAAATCTCGGTCTCCCTTATTAAATCTCAGAGCTGCTCCCTAACAAAACCCTCCCCTGCAGCAGGTCCCAGACACCAGCCTGTGGCACTGCTCTTCAGTGGCTTTTATCACTGCCTTTTTTTTTTCCCTTGATGGCATTTACCCACCATTTACCTACCAGCTGAGTAATCTGGCTGTGGAACAAAGTTCTGAGGAAACAAGAAGAAATGGGCAACTCTGCAGCACCCTCCACGTGCCCCTGAAAGTCTGGGCATCAGAGGGAAAGGAGCTGCAAACCTGTGGATAAAGGTGGTCACAGCAGAGGTGTGCTTGGTTTAGAAGTACAGATAGATTCTGATTTCTATAGCTGTGTAAGACACTGGTAAGAAATGGAAGCTAATTATAGTGCCACAACAAAACATAGAAGGGAAATGGGGAAGAAAAAAAAAACCCAACCCATATTCCTTGTTAAAGTAATTCTTACCACATGCTCCAGCTGCTTTCATAGCTACGTTTCAGGGTAAGGAGAGACCATTAAATGTCAGTCCACAAAGCAAACTTCATCTTATCTAGACTGCATTTCAGTTTGTCCATCTGTAGTGCCCTGGCTGAAGCAGGAGCTGTGAAAGGCACTCAGAGCTGCAAAATCCAAACCACTGTACTGAGGAGGCACAGCAGCCTGTGCCCTCTCATGATAAACATAACCAAGGACAGAAGTCTGAGAAATACCATGAAAAATCACTCCTGGCATGGGGTATAATTGCTCTACACTGTGCTCTTGTGATCTCCTAGAAAATATAAACAAACAAATAAGAATATTTAAGAGCGGTACTGTCAGTCTCCACAACTAAGTTCATGTCATTTTGGGATTAATACCAAGTACAATTATAAACACAGCAAAAATACTGCATTTCATTTGTCGCTACAGCACGGCCTTCACACTGCATCTGGCTGCAAAGGTGCATGGAGGAGGGAAATATCACAGGGATGTTTATCTACAACCTATTCAATGTATTTTCAGCAGAACAACAAAATTCATCTTAGAGTAACAGGGAGATCACATCTGATCCCCATCTTCTTGACAGCACACTCCCACTGAAATAAAGCATCAACAGTTTTCAAAGAAATTAACTGAATTTGTATTTTTAGAAGCTAAACAGAAAGCCAAAGCCCAGGGACACACATCTGCTTCAATCCTATGGCTTCCAGCCACCAATGTCACTGTGGATCTCGTTGCTCCCTGTGAGCCTCCCGCTGCAGCCCCGTTGCCATCTGCCTGTGGACAGCCAGCTCACCAAAAATAAGTTTTTGTGTCACAGCAGAACAAGCACCTGCCAGGGGCGAGTGGCTGCCACTGCTGCTGCCACTGCTCTGCAGTGCTCTCCCCACGTCCTTACTCACTGACCTTTCCACAACCAGCCCGGCCTCCTTTGTGTTTGTTGCAACAAATACCTCCTTCCTCCATCACGACGCCTGTCTGTGACTCCTTCGGGTTCTTGCACTCGGTTTTCCATGCTTACTTCAAAAAAATGGGTATTTTTATACACAAGAGATAGCATGAAAGGGTTTGTCACACATTCCACTCCCATTTTGGTCCATCTGCTCCCCACTTTGGGGAGCTCCCCACTGCAGACAACCACCTCTCTGTGAGACAAAGGCACAGAACCAAAGAGACAGAGCTCTGACAAAAGAGACAATTAAACCCTCAGCGTGTACAACCCTCCTGCACACGCCTCCAAGTGCTGCTAGAAAGCAGCCAAGGGTTTCACTTCAAAATGAACACTGCAGAAAAATGAAAATCGGACCCTTAGCCAAGGGGAACCAAAGGATCCCTCATTTTCTTCTCCAAATGGCAAATTTGCAGTTTCATCCCCAAATCCTTCAAGCTGCAGAAAGGAGAGCATCTGCCAGCTCACTGAGCCACCTGAGTAACTTTTTCCAGCCTAACTCCGAACTGCAACAACTTGCCATATCAAACTGCCAAATCTACAGTGCTCATTTCTTTCTGTGAATCCAGCTGTCATTTTTCCCAAATGCCTTCGCAGTCCCAACTCTCCCGATGCCAGAAAAACCTTTTCACAGATATACATAATTTTGCAAAACACATATGCTCTTTGTATGGCGCATGAAGTCAATTAACAAGTTTACTTACTGAGTTAAAGGATGACACACAACAGTAAAACAAAAACCTCTCGCAGACAGCAAACACATGAACCTTCTCATCCCTACGAGGTGACTCTCACAAGGAGTGCTGAGTCTTAAAGCCCGTTTTGAGTACCCCAGATATTTCACACTTATCTCTGTGGCACCTTTTATTCTGTAATTACCACGGTGTCTGTGATCACCAGCACGGGGAGTTAAATGTAAAACACGTTCAATTTGCTAGTCAGCAAGCACAGAGCAGGCACTGGGACAACTATTTTCTCTCCTAAAAGAAAAACAAGCACAAATTAAAACCACTAAAAGCACGTACCTTTCAACTGGTCAGCTACCACGCTCTGACCAACGCGCTCAATCACCTTCCCATCCTCCATTTCATAACGATCATCCAAATATTTGGCAGTAGCTTCTGAAATATGGACCTTCCCAGCCACCCCGAGCTGCTCCATCAGATTGGCCAAATTGACATCGTTGGACCACACATCGAACTTGAACCTCCTCATCCCCAAAATGCCACACAGGACCGTCCCAGTGTGAACACCGACTCTCATGTTCACCATTTCTTTCTTCTCCTGGCAGAACTGCTCGATGGCTCTGATCATGCCCAAGCCCATCTCGATGCAGCAGTACGCGTGATCCGGCCGGGGCTCGGGGCAGCCGGCCACGCAGTAGTAACAGTCCCCCAAAGTGCTGATCTTCTCACATTTAGTGTCCTCACACAGACGGTCGAAGCGCCCAAAGAGGTCGTTCAGGAGTCCCACCAGAGCGTGGGCTGATTTGTTGGCGCTCATTTTCGTGAAGCCGACGATATCTGCGAACAAAATGCTCACTTGCTCTATCTGCTGCATTTTAAAAGGACGGAATATTATGGGGGTTTTCTGTATGGAGGGCTTCTTCTTCCTGTTTTTGGGGCTTGAGGTGGAATGACGTTTGATGGAGTTTTCACTTTCATCATCGCCCTGCTTCATTAAGTCATCGGCTATTATTCTTGGCATAACAGAATGAATCATCCTCTCTTTCAGGGCTTTTTCCACTTCCAAGTCTTTTCCATGCATGATGGATTGCCCCACTTTCAGGAACGTGCTTCTCGATCTGACTTCGGACATGATAAATAAATGAATGCCAATGGCATGGATGCAGATGTGCAGGAAGGCTTTACTCAAGAGCTCCCAGTAAACCGCGCCGGCTCCGAGAGGTGTGAAACAGTTCTCGTCGCGGAAGTGATAACCAAATGTCTCGAAGAGGACCGAGTAGGACAGTCCCAGAAACAAGCTTAAATACAGGGGTAAGTGCATCACCGTGTAAAGCAACAAGAGCACTTCGATACACATAGAAAAACTACCCACTTGGGAAAGACATGTGTCTGTGGGATCTGCCGGGGGAGTCCGATTGGACATGTCACCACTTCCTGAGACAGGCTTCAGAGCCTGGAACTGCGGAGCGAGGGTCAGAGCAAACACCAGGAGGGTGAGTATCAGCGAAGTCCAGACATAATGGCGGGCGTAGGTCTTAGTGAAAGTGAACACAAAAAAAGCTACACATACCAGGAGGAAGCACAGAGCCGGCACCATGAAAACAATCTGTTTCTCTCTCATGTGTACGCCGAAGTAGATGCCCCAGAGCAGGCAGGCCACGCCGATGTAGAAGAGGGCATAGCGAAACCTGCGCTGGGTCTGCGGGAAGCATCTCTCCATGCAAGCCTCCTCCAGGTTGTTGGAGTCGAACTTGGGGTTCCACCACTTGGAAGAGGCCCTCTCGAAGAGCTGCGGCAGCTTCTTCGGCCGGCGGAGGCCGGAGCCACCGCCGCCGGCTCCGCCGGCTCGGCGGGTGCCCCCCGACTCCCCCGAGCTGCAGCTGGAGGAGATGCTGTACTTGCAGTGCTTGGAAGAGGAGCAGCCCTGGTGCTGCTTGGGGTTGATTTTCACCGTCACGCTGTTGCTGTCCCCGCTGGAGTCGCAGCTCACCTCGGTGCTGTGGTGATGCAGCAGCTGCTGGTGCGGTGGGGAAGCCATGTTGTCAATTCCTCCTCAAGAGCCCGCGACGGAGTTGGGTCTCAGGGGCTGCCGAAGCCACCGGGCTCCTCGCAGAGTCGCCTCTAGTCTCCCCCGGTCCTCGCCGCGGAGGGGCGGCCGGGCAGCGCCGCGGCGTTCGGCCGCTCGCCGGGCTCCGCACACAGCGCGCCGTGGCAGCCCCGCATAGTCCCCTCGCCGGGGCCGGGGCTGCCGCCGCCCGCCGCTGGCCCCGCTCCCCCGCAGCCCTCCCGAGGCGCGGGGCGGGCGGGCCGCTGGCTCAGCCCCGCGGGGGGGACGCCGGGCCCCCGCCGGGAGGGGACCGCTCCTCCATGTCGGTGCAGCTGCCCCGCCGCTTCCTCCCCTCACGGCCGCCGACGAGGGGCCGCCTCCCGCCCTCAACCGCCCGCCCAGCCGGGACGGCAGCGGCGACCGCTCCCCTGCGCTCCGCCCGCCCGCCCGCCTGTCTGAGGGGAGGAAGGGGAGCACTGGGACGCGCTCAGGCGGCCGCCACCATCTTCCCCGCGGCGCGGGGGGGGGCGCGGGGGGGCTGCGGGAGCGCGCCCCCGCTCGCCAATAGGGCGCGGCGGTGCGGCGGGAGCGCGCGCCCCCCCTTCTCCCCCGACTTCCCGCCCCAGCGCGAGGGGCGCGGGCGGGGAACGGTCCCCTCAGAGAGGGACGGGCGCGATGGTGGTGGGACCGTCCGTGAGGGAGCGGCGGGACAGCGAGGGGTGGCAGGAGGCGCGCGGGCCCCTCAGCGGGGACAGCCCTCAGCGAGGGGCCGGGTGCGGGGTTCCCGGGCTGCCCCCGCCACCGCCCTCCCCTCCGGCTGACACTTGTCGTGCGCAGACAACACGCACTGTACCAAACAATCCAGCCCGAGCCCTGCTGCAAACTCGCCGCGTTATTTTTCTCCTCCGCTTGTTTATGGCTGACGCTATCTCGCCTGCACCGCTCCCTCGGTTTCATTATCTCTGCTCGCAGATGGCCCGTGGCTTTCCCTCCTTCGCGGGGTTTGTGCTCGTGGTACAGCTCCATCTCCCCCTCCCAGCTCTCTGTCCCTCACCCTTGCTCACAGGTGATGCTCCCAAATTGCTCCCACCTCGTCCCTCTCAGCCCCTCATCTCCAGCCCCAGTTCTTCCTGCTGTGGCTTCTGCTTCCCTGAATCCCATTTACGGGTTTCCAGGTGAGCCTTTCCCAGAAAAGCACTTCACTCCAGCAGTCCTGCGTTCTGCAGTGCCTCTTCCCAAACAGTAAGTCCCTTCTCATCTGAAGACCGCGCCATTCCATAAAATAAATCCAAAGGCACCCTGGCTTGTACCAGTAATATTGTGGCCAGCAGGACCAGGGCAGTGCTGCGCGCGGCTGAGGCCCCTCCAGTCCTTGGGATGGTTCTGGGCTCCTCACGACTTGGACTGGAGCGTGTCTGGAGAAGGGAACAGAGCTGGGAAAGGGTCTGGAGCACCAGGAGCAGCTGAGGGAGCTGGGGGTGCTCAGCCTGGAGAAAATGGGACTCAGGGGGGACCTTCTCGCTCTCTGCAACTCCCTGACAGGAGGGGGGAGCTGGGATGGGGGTGTCGGGCTCTGCTCCCAGAGAACAAGGGATGGGATGAGAGGAAACGGCCTCAAGTTATGCCAGGGGAAGTTTAGATTGGATACTGGGGAAATTTCTTTCCAGAAAGGGTTATTAAACATTGGAAGGGCTGCCCAGGGCAGTGGTGGAGTCACCATCCCTGGAAGTGTTAAAAAAACAAGAGGACGTGGCATTTCGTGATATGGCTTAGTGGGCATGGTGGTGTTGGGTCAAAGACTGGACTCGGTGGTCTTGCAGGTCTTTTCCAGCCATAATGGTCTTTTTCAAAAATCATAATAGAAAATCCGTGGCCACACAGTTACTGAAACTGAAACCTGCCTTTTTTCCCCTCTCCTTTGTAAAGATGCTACTTCTCCCCTTAACCATGCCATAACACATGTTTTTACTAATACTATTTTGAGGAAATTTTTATTTCCTGACATGCTCAAATACCAAAATAATCTATAATAAAAATTTCCAATCAGTAGCAGTACTTGTTCTGGTGTTGCTGTGACACAGTTGTCTCTTGAATTCCAGCTAATGGCTCAGCTGATCAATATTTTATAGTGACTGCTGCTTTCCATGCGGCTCTTACATAAACACTGTTGGGAGGAAAGAAATCCCTGAGCTGACAGAGCAGAAAGGCAGGATGGCCTCCTGGGCTTGCCTATTAATTGATAAATTTACTAAAAATTCTGTCCAACCTTTTTATTGATTCATCTTAATTTACTTTAAGTTACATTTTTACTTCATAAAGGATGAGGAATTTATTTAATCTGGAGGATTAAAGAAGTGCTACAACTTCCAAGGATTCAAAGACGCGGTGGAAAAAGTGACCTCATTGGCAAAGACTTTAAGGTGAAACTATGTGTGTTTTTTCACTTTGTTATGTAAATCTGTAAGATTTTTGTGGTTGTAGAAATCGTGCGATTTGAACTTTTGAGATTTAAGAGGTACTGAAATTTCAGCATAGATTTTTATAGGCTTTTTAAAATGATGGTTTTGTCTTATTATTATTGCTTTTGAGTTCAACTGCCAGTCTGGGTCAGCTCCATTTCCCAAACACCCTCTGAAAAAGGTAGGAACTAGGAAGAACTAAAATATGGTGGAGGACAGAAAATAGTTTACACCAGTATTATTTCTAAGCGAGGATGTTGTTGAGAAGAACATCAGGGTCCATTTCCCTCCAGCTGAAGATGTGTGTGTTCCCTCTGGTATCAACAAAGTCATGACTTCACTCAGTTCCTTTGGTCCAGGGTGATTGAGAATACACAGGCAGTAAATAAGTAAAATATTGCTTGCCTGGAGTGTAGTGAAGTTTGAGGCCTGAAACTTGCTTGACTGGGCTTCAGTTTTCACCTGAGATGAGGCTGAGGATGTGGAATGGCTCCTTCATTCCAAATGAGGCTGTTGTGTATGTGCAGCCATAGGTGAGCGCAGGGAGAAGGAGGTTCAGGCGTGTGTCCTGCCCAGAGAGAGCTCAGGTGCACGAGATGCCACTCATACAGAATTCCCTGTGTGCATCTTTTGGACATGGACCAACGTGTGTGCAGGAGGAGGAGGAGGAGGAGGACAGGCAAGAGCAAAGCTCAGTGAGAAGCAAGAGAAGTGTATCTTGTTCCCCCCTGTGCTCAATAAAGCGGGACTTTGTATGTTCTTAGAATAAACAGAATCACATCAAAGATACTGGCTACATCACAAGTTTTCACTGAGTGACCCACATGATCCCAAATTTTGTCTGGCTACTAGTCAGAGGCAGCTTTTGATCTCTGCTAATGAAGTAGTTCCTCTTTCCCCGCTGGTTCGAAGGAGTGAAGTGGGATGGAAGGAGACATCTGACCTGTCAAACCCTGCTCTGGTGAGCTTCACATCGGGATTTTGAGGTTGTTCAGAATCCTTGCTCCCCCAAGGAAGCTCCCATTAGGTTTGTAACTCACAGACTCCCATCCTGGTCCTCCTCTTGATCTTTTGGATGGAACAGATGCCCAACACTTACTGGCCCAGCCATTCCCCAGCTTCCTCTCTCATTATCAAGTTCAATGGAAACACATTGTGTTTCCATCATCGGGGACCAGTTGTCTTGTCTTCATTTTCATTAGCTCTGTTCTGGCTGGGACAGACCTAATGCTGTCTCCTGAAAGACTGAATTTTTAACTTGACTTTGTTTTTATCATGATTTTTTTTCTCTGTTGAACTCAAGAAAAAATACATATAAGCAGCAAACAAGAAATGCCAGTGATGCTTGGATTTACATGAAGCGTGAGTAAGGTTTGTTTTAGAGGGCAAGAAGTGGTTTGAAGTTGTATCCATTATTACCCCCCACCACCTTCTGGTTTGTTTTTATCCAGGAGGAGTTTAACCCCACACTATTAGATAATACAGGCAGTATTATATTCCCCTCTAAGGCAGTGCCTCAGGGGATAATGTCTGTAGCATCCTTCAAGGAAGATGCTTCCTTTGGATCACTTTCTTAGCAACCACGCTGAGCACATCCTGGTAGTGCTGGGAGCCTCCACACAGTCTGGCTTTTGAGTCTTGGGTTCCTTCTGGCCTGGGTTGTGCTGGTCTCCTGTGGAGAATTCTGACCACCCTTCCAAAGTACTCTGTGACTGGTTTCCTTTCTCAGGGACCGGGTTAGAGGAGATACTTTACAGAGCAGTAGCTGGGCAAATACAAATCCTACTTGCAGAGTTCTCTTAGCTTCATGCCACTGATATACATATTTAGTCTAGAGAACTGAGTTCACTTCTCCTCTCGGAGGCACAGCTTTGTCAGCTCTAATGATGAGCTCTTGTTTGACGTTCATAATATTGTGCTTCGCCGCTTATCTGATGGAGCCACACGGAGTTATTTAGGGGGTTCTGAAATGTGACAACCCACATGATGCTTTTTTAGACTTCACAAACCGCCTTCACGAGGCAGAAGAATATGACATGGGAACTGCTGGCTGGAACAACGGCGTGTCTTGATGCCGGCGTGGTTGGTGGAGCTGGGGAGGAGGAATACTATTAAGAAGTTTGCAGCTTTCATTGTGTGCTGTCAAAGGAAAACTTGCAGCCTGAAAGAACAGGCGTCATGGACTATTGATCCTATCTGGAAACAGCATAAATATTGGAGGCAAATATGTTAAAATCTGTTTTGACCATCACACAGATTCAAGGGAGACAGCTCGGATGCCCCGTTCCCTCCTTTCTTACCTTAATAAATGGCAACATCTCACTTTCTTACAAACTTCTCTGTCTTCATCCTTGTGGACACGTGCAGCATTCATTGCAAGCTTTGTTTTGAGTCCTGGTAACCTCTAGGTGAAAGAACTCATTAAAAAAAACAAAACCCACCAGATTTTCTGACTTCTGTTCACAGATTAACAGGCAAACATTAGAAAATATTGTGAAACGTTGTTCCTGCTCCGTGCTTTTTAAGATTGTTCAAGTATCACAGTGCTTATCTCATTTTTCCATAGCAGAAGAGCACAAGGACATCTTTTCCATACGAAGCCACGGAAGCTGAGTAAGTGGGTGGTGCGTTCTTCTCACTTCCTCACAGCGGCCAGGTTGGTTTTGTGTCGTGTGCTTTCATCCTTCTGAAATTGCTGTTCAACTTATTCATGTTACTGAGACAATTTTGTATACCAGATGCACAGATAAAATAAGTGAGTAAGCAGTAGAAGACCTTTTTATGTGAATTGGATCTTTTTATGTGACTCAAGAGGGAGGATAAATCCTGGTCTGGCTGAGTGGGAATCTCTGGCTCCTGTGGGACCAGGATTTTACTTGCAGGCTTTATGGTTGTTTCATTGGAGAGGTCTTTATGCTGAAAGCAATGCAGAATATTCTGCTTGTTTGGCAAAATGTCTGCCACCAGGAGGTGGCTTCACTCAAATATACATTTCTGTAAGACGAAGACAAACTTAAAATTTATTGTTCATCCTGTTCATAACCAGAAGTTCTCCTGGCTTGCCAAGCTGCTGAATCAGCTTGGGTACCTCACCCTTGAGTCAGCACAGCCCAAAATAGAAAGTTGCTCCATTTCCGAAGAGAGGAAGTCCCACTGTTGCCTGCAAATACAGCCTCATCTAACGGGCTTTTATAGCTGTGAACACTCAATGGAGGGACTTGTGTGACACTCTGCTTCTTTAAAAAAAGAAAGGGAAATAAGAAGGCATTTTCTGACTCAAAACAGGAGTGTTCGTGTTGCTGTGAGTGGGACTGTGTGGGTGTGGAAGTACAGAGGAGTAAAGAGCAGGAGAAGGGCTGTACAAGTGGCAGTCGCTCGTGTCCCCTCAAGTCAGCATCAAGCTCCTGCTCCAGCTACTTGCAGCTTCTCAGGACATTCAAATTAGGGAGACAAGGGACAGGCTACAACCAAGCTGAAGCCAAGTCTTAAGTCATTAAGAAATGAGGGCAAGAAGACAGGGTAGAAGCTCTAAAACACTGACTAGAGATCAGCTACAGTGGTGCTCATCCAGCATTCCCAAGGTAGAGTTGAGTCACTCCCGCTGCCATGCTGTAACTCCACTTTATAGCCCAGCATAAAATAGCAAAAAAACAGTGAAAATGACCAAGAGCTGCAGTCAAATAGTGGGAAATGACACTTAAAGTCGTCGGGAAGACTTCATGGAAGGGAGTGAAAAGGCAATATAAAAGTAGTCCTTATGTGATTAAATTAGGGAGGAGTTTCTGTGTCTCCAGGTCAGGCCATTCACATTTGCCCTTCTCAAGCCGGGCAGCTTTTCCTCTTGCACGTGTAGCATCCATAATTTTTGGTGCTCTGCAGAAGGACACCCGTTCAAAATGAAGCTTCAGGGGTCTGTCAAGCAGCACTTGCTTGTGCCCCCTTCCCATGAGTGCTCCTCGTTTTCCCTTTGGGCAGACAAAACCCAGTAACCTCTCTCAAACCCTGTGCAGGTGGGATATGCAACCATTACTGAGGGAAACAAACCTTTATCTCAGGCAAAGTCCTGTTGTATTTTACTTTCTCTGGAAGCTTTCCCTCTATCTCCTCTGAAAGAAGGGCTGGATGCCCATGTGCTGTTCCCCTGTGCCTTGATGCTCCTCCACCTGTATAACATCACACCTTACAGGATCTTGCAAAATAAGGTTTATGAAGCCAAGGAGGAGCAGAAAATAAAACCTTTTCATTCTCACAGCTCACTTATTTAGCCAACTTGTCTTCATAGCAGTTTGTGTGGGAAGACCCTGATGGAAAGGGGAGCTTTTACAGGAGCAGCAAAAGTAATTTGTATTATTACAATTTAAAAAGTAAATTATTCTAAACTAAGTCTAAAGTATTCATATAACCTTGCAGGCAGGATTCCTCCTAGGGTGACCCTCGGTACAGGAATTTCCTGCAGAATTATGAAGGAAACTGTAGAGATTTGAAAAAAAAAAAGTTGTTTCTGCAATAGGTGTGAATGTTGCAACACGCAATTTTACCATTTTCTGATTTTTGCAATAGCGCAGTTGCAAATTGCAACACATTTTATATTTAGTGTTTTGGGTTATTCAGCTGAAAAGTGGCAGAAATGAGGATTTTCAGGCACAATTCCAGGGTTCTGCAGTCACCTCGTGCACACACCACGGGTTTGGGGGAAAGACCTGCTGCAAACCCACAGAAAACCCCCGCCAAGGAATTGCAAGGAATTACACAGGGTAAAACTTCTTGAAACATCTGCTATGTGTGCACCAAGCACTTTTTAAATTTAGGTTTCTAGGAAGAAGAGGGAGTTGCTGTGGCATTTTTGCGACTTGATCCCTCGTCTCGGTTGATCCGCAATGGAAAGGTGACCCCGAGCCCGGCCGAGCTGGGAATGGATCTGGTGAGAGCCATCGCTGTCTGAGCCAAGCAGAGTGTTCCCAAATGCATCCCTGAATAGACTCACTTGCTCTTTTCCTGGCTCTATTTTAACCACAGATCTGTCATTCTGCCCTGTGGGTGCCAGAATTAAAAAAACCCCAATAACAGAACTCAGTAATACTGGATTTTTGGTGCCTTTATTTCTCCCTCCCCCCCCCCCCCAAAAAAAAGGTAGAGGAGAGCATTTTTCTCACCTATACCTGGGATTTCATTTCTTTGGCTGCAACTCTGGTTCTGTCCAGGAAGATAGATGACTTCCAGTACTCCAATCAGAGCAGATATATCCAAAAAATTCAGCAGTGATGTGACAGGTATGAAGTGGAAGGCATTGAGAAGCTATTGTGTCAATTTTTAGTTTGTATTTAAGAAAATTTTTTACACGCTTTTGTTCTTAAGCTTGGAAAAAGCTCACTTCTCCTGTCTGCCAACACTGGAACCAGTCCTTATTTCAATTTGTTGCTGTGGTGGTAGGCTTGAGATGTTGATGAAACAAGAAAAAGTCATACAGGGTAATTTGTAGAATCAAAGAATCATGGAATGGCTTGAGTTGGAAGGGATCATAAAGATCATCTGGTTCTAACCCCCTGCCATGGGCAGGGACACCCTCCCCTAGACCAGATTTAGTGTGAGAGCAAACACCTTCCCAAAAATCATGTTTAAAACTGAGGGTGAATGCATGTTTCTGCCACGTGCCTAGTTCTGTTTTCAGGGGGAAAAAAATTGGTAAGAAAATGTTACTGAGAACATTAAAACCTAACACTTTGGCTGTGGTGGTGATCACATCTCCCAGGCATTTTTACCTATGGTGCTGCCCTGACAACTGCAGTGTATTGTGGAAATAAAGGGTGAACTCGCTCAGGTCTGGGTCCTGCTGGTTGTGGATGAGGCAGATACATTAAATACCTTTTGACAGAGGTAGGAGGGAATGGCTGCTTCCACAGGGAAGGGGGAATAACAGCTCTGGGAACTGAAAACGCAGCCAGTGTTTGGTGAAAAGGGCACACAGAACACAGTGAAAGGTCGCGAAGGGAGAAACGCCACAGTCCAGCATTTACTGGCTAAATGTAACCAGGCCTTAGGAATGGGGCCCTAATCCTTTTATAAACCAGGAATCTCCTTGAATTGGGTTAAGGGGAGTCACTGTTGATAGGCAAAAATCAAATAACCCTCGTGCTTCGTGGCACATGTTAAACTCTTAATGACACAGGCAGGAAAAATCCCATGACAGGCTTTTCTGCAGTTTCCCACCAAAAGTTCCCTCCAGCTTCCAGAGGCTCTGCGTGGTTTGTCCCTGCGAGAACTGCTCAGAGATTGTTGTGGTGGAGTCAGAGAGATGAGTTATTTACCAAAGGATATCTCAAAGGGGAATTTGATGCAGGCCATGCTACTGTGTGTGACCCCATCTTGTCACCTCACACCTGAAACTGTTCCACGTCTTGTCTGTTAATTTGGGAATTCCCAGAACACTTGGAAAACAAAACCAGGAGCTGAAATTTCTTCAGTATGAACAAACAAACAAACAAGCAGATTGTGTTTCTTATGCATCCAGTCAAAACATCTCAGTTATTAATGTTAAATTCCTGTGTGCCTGAAGAACCTGCTCCTAAATAAGCTACAAAGCTGAAAAATTAAAGTAAAATATGCCACCATCTTCAGCTGAAGGATGTTCCACACTCCTGTGAGTCCCTGCCATGATTTTGGGAGACGGAGACGTGTGTTCAGAGAAAGAGAAAAGGCCCCAGCCATGCACCAGGGAAGTGAGGGCTGAGAAGCAGATTTATTGTGCTAAGTGGCTTTTTCCTGTCTTCTCCTTTCTCCTCTTTTACCATCCTTGTTTCACTTCCTTCCTCAGCTTTGGCCTGTGGACAACCAGGGAAAATATTCCCTTCCCCTTTACACGGTTGTAACACATATTAAATCTTGTTCTATTACAGCCCAAACAACGATTGCCATGTTTGCTTTTTTTATGTGGACCAGTTAAGCCCTTAATGAAGGATTTGTTCTTAATCTGGGTCTCTCGATTCCTTTTCTCATTGTGTTCAGTTCACAGTCAAGGCCTGTGGACTCCTTTAGAGACACTTGGAGTGGAGGTGTGTTGATTTTTAACCAGATCTTTCCTCCTGCCCTGTCTTACCCACCAGAGCAGGAGGTGCTGAGTCCATCACTTTGCTGCAACCTCAAACTCCTTTTTCCAAGCCAGAAATGTGGGCAGGGCTCTTGGAGAGATTGTTATGTTCCTGACTTCCTCCTGACTGCAAACCAGCCCAGAACTCCCCTCTTCCCTTAGACAAGAACTGACCACGGAAATTTCAGCGACACGGAATTACAGCCTTGATTTTGCCCAGAAAGGCAACACACGGCAGTGAGAGCTTAGTGGGAGGACGTTTCTCTCCTCAACAGGACAAAGCTTCAGGTGGTCACTGCCTGGAGCCCACCACCTCTGCCCACTCTGCATCCTAGAAGAGGTTGAAGAGGTCGAGTTTTTGGCCCAAAGTCTTATTTCAATTTTATTTTAGGCTGAGAAATGAACACACAGGAATGCAGGATGCTCCCAGTGCCTTTTGTTGCTGACAGCAGGGATGTTCTGGGCTGCCCCATCCACCTCCTGCATGTCAAGGCAAAGGTGTGGCAAACAATGTGTGCTGAAAAAGCTCCCTTTTTTAAAACCTGAAATATTAAAGAAAATGCAAGCAGGGCTGAAGAAACCTCTTAGTAAGCTGAAAATGTTGTATTTACTGTTTCTGCAGCATAGGGAGAGCTCAAAGCTTCATTTAGCAAAAGCAGCCAAATCTACTGGACTGTGGGGTTGGAGGACTTTTATGTCCAGCAAGTAATAACTGTCTTTAATTAGCTTTATTTACACAATAGATGTCGATGTTGAGTTCTCTCAATGAAAAGGGCAGAATGTCCCTAGTGGGAAATGGGATTTTTGAAGCCTGACAACTCAAAACCAGTGGGAAGGTTTGTGCTCAGACTGCCTGGGGAGAAAAATCACCTTTGGCTCAACAAAACAGGAAGGATTTCAAGCCCACAGCAGAACTTTTTCAATAAACTAATGAAAATGGAGGATTATAGTTTAAACTGTTTTGCAATCACTGGCCTCAATCCTGCAGACACTTTTCACATGTGCCTTACTTTATATCCATGGTTGGCTTGCTGACCCTCATGGGATTATTCACACCTGGAGATAAAAGTGAAGGCCAGAGTGTTTATAGAACAGAGTCCAAACTGTAGCATTTTTATCAGAAAAAAACCATCATGTCAAGATCTCCTTAATTGGTTCATTGGGATCCTTTATGTTTGAAGAAAAAAAAAGGTGAGAAATTCAGGAATTAAGATTCCTGAGGCAGTCTCAGATCCGCTCCCTTGTGTGAATAGGACCTTTTGTTGTGCTGGATCACAGCACTGGGCCACGAAACTTTTTCAGCAGCTACTAAAAAAACCCACCACCTTTATATAATTTGAATCTACTGCTCACCTGAAGACACTGCCTGCATTTCTTTCTGCTCTCTGATGTATGTCAAAGCTAAAAGTATGTTTGGCCACTCGCTGAGACTGAAAGGTATCCCCTCATCAATAGGAAGCAACTAATTGAAAAAAAAAATTGTTTTATAAGTTTTTTAAAATTTTTAAAACTATTTTTTCTTGTATATCAGGGGTGCATATTGAACCTGTCATGAAACTACTTGTTGAAACCTCTGAAACAAGAGTAAACCTCCCCTTCAAACTCTTTCCACCATTTCTCAGGCTGTTCTTGCGCAGGAGCCAAACTGCCCTTGTGCTGACTCACATCTTGGCGTTTTCTGTTTATATACGTGACGACGACGTTTGCAAGCAAAAGGGGAAACCCCCCCGTGTCCCTGTGGTCCTGGCGAAACCTTTCCCTCCTCGGCAGAGCCCGGGGCCGTGGCCAGAGCCGCGGTGTGGGCACTGTTGTCATCGCTCTTTGCCGCCCAGCGCGGGGCATTCCTGCAATCCTCACATTCCATCCCGCTGCTCGGCCATCCCCACCTGCCCTGTCCTCAGCTGGCCGGGCTCTGTGGCTGCCAGAGCCCCAGATCTACCCCAGATTTAGGCAGGCCTAGTGCCCCCCCCATCCCTCCTGACCCTCTGTGATTCTACACACATTCTTCACAGCTCTGGGCACCTTTCACATGATCCCACCAGGTCCAAAATTTTCAGTGTATTATTCCTGGCACCAGTATTGTCCTTGACACAGGGTTTATTTTTCCTTGCTGCCCATTTGTATCTCCAGCTCCCTCGCCCTGAGTCTTACTTGGGATTTTTTGCCTTTCCCCAGGCAATGTCTGGGCTTTAAGGCCTTTCTGAGTAAGGAACAGCAGCACAGGACACGCCATGACCTGATATACCTGGCTTTTCATTGTTGTCACTCCCACCTGCCTCTCTTGGCATTACCTAAATTTCAGCCACAGCTTCTGGTCACTTTGCAATTCCATCAGTCTTGTGGGAGAGGCAGAAGAGGGTCTCCCTTCAGCTCCCCCCACCACAGCTCCTCTTGGTGTCCTCTGGCTTGGGCTGACCCGTCTCAGCTGCTGAAAATCCCATCCAGACCCACTGCAAGGTGGAAATAGTTTGTTATTGGGGCAATGGCACCCCTTCATCACACAGAAAGCACCGAGCGTTTGGATTTCTGCCCATGGAAAGGAGCAAAAGCAGCATTGGGTCCAACTAGGTGAGCAGGTACCCAGTGCACAGCCTGGATTTTGGCCACGGCTGAGGCTGCAGCTGCAGCTGACATGAACTTTCCATCAGTGGCAATGGGTCAGAGGCAGCTGAGGCTCCTTTCCTCCCTGCTCTGGCCCTCACTGTTGGGAGCTGTGGGCAGGATTAAGGAGAAAAAGCAACATATGGGTCATGGGAAGAGGGAAAACAGAAGCGGCTCGGCCAGCCGAAGAGGAAACGGGGGACACAGATGTCCATGGAAAGCTGAAGCCACTTACAGAGGATGCGTTTACTTGTATTTCCTTCCACTAGAGCTTAATTGCAGTGTTTTTAGTGACAGGTAGGACAGGAGCTGGGCTTCTGCCTAAGCACTTCTGCGTCCTGCATAAAAGTGCTGAATTTAATATTAACAACAATTAATCACAGCTACTGGGAAGGAGCCGGCAGCGTTCCCTGCCCCGGGAGCACTCGGTTCTCATGTTCAGCCCATTAACTCCCATCTCCAGGCCAGTGGCACTGGAGAGTTGCAAAGAAGCAAAGGGCTTCCCTGTGCTGCTGAATTTCGATCCAGAGCTGAAGTGGTGGTGGCACTGGCACTCACTTCCCATTGCCTCTGGCAGCCTTTGCTGGGAATATGGGTGGGTTTGGACACCCCATGTTGCTCCCAGGTGTAGGAAACGGCCACTGACCACCAGCTCACTCACCCACATGCCATTTTCCCTCCCTCTGCCCCAAAAGGCTGCTGGGATGATTCCAGGTCACAGCAGGCCGGCTGGGTTAGGGTGGATGGCAGGATTGCAGGGATACTGGTGGATTTCTCCTGTTATTGGTACCACAACTCCCTCTCTCATTAGCAGCACTGATTGCTCATTACGTGTTTTCCATAGGTACAGGAGTGTTTTGGAACAGCTCGTTTTTGCATCCTGTAATTAAATGACCACTAATGAGTGTGTTAGAGAAGGAGCAGCTGAATGCACTAACCCATGTGGGAATGCTGGATATCCATATAACAACTGCAGGAATTCACTGGCTGCCCCAGCTCCTGGCTGGTGACAGCAGCATGTCAGCACCCTGCCATCCCTCTGGCCTCTTGTCCACTTTGAGGGACACTCCAGGCCCTGGCTCACCAGCCCTCCATCCCCCCATTTTGCAGGGATGACATATTCTGGACACTCCATGGGTTAAAAATCCCCTTCCTGGGGTGAAAATCCCCTTCCCAGGGCTCTGGGCTGCCCTGGCTCCTCTCCTCTTGCCCTGAATGTCACCCAGGTGTACTAAAGCGAATGGTGACCCCTTGGGGCCAATGTCCAGGCTTTACCCATCTCCTTCAAGCAGGCAATCCTTTGGGACATCCCTGTTCCCCAGCCCAAGGCTCTTCCCAAGGCAGGCAGCCCCAGAAGTGGGCTCGCTCCCCATCCCTCACCCTGTCTCCTCTGGGAAGCGCTGATGTCACATGCAAACCCCAATTTTGGGTGTGCAAATCCTCCTCCAGTGGAGATGTGTGGGTGTGGCACTTGGGGACACGGTTTAGTGGTGGCTTTGGGAGTGCTGGGAGAACTGTTGGACTTGATGATCTTAGAGAGCTTTTCCAACAGTAATGATTCCACATTTCTGTGGGTATCACGGAGGAGGGCAGGGGGTCCAAAGCCCCTGCATGTTCTTCAAGACACAGCTTTTACTGATTTACCTCCCTGATTTTACCTCCCTGGTTCAGTGTCCTGCACATACACATCTTGGGGAAAATGTGTTGATTTTGGGGCTCTCTGCAGACCCAAAGTGGCTGCAGTGCTCTGGTTTGAGGTGGGACATGTCCTGAAGGCACACTCTGCACATCCACGCTCAGTGTTGCAACTCTTCTGACTCTGAGCAGGGAAGTGGTGGTGGAACTGAGCCCAGCCTCTGTCTTGGGAGGGATGCTGGAGGGCTGGGGTCAGGGCGAGCCAGGGAGTTCTCGGTGCTGCACAAAGCTCCAAAGTCCCAAAAAGGAGGGACTTGCATGGAAAGGGTGTTTTGTTTGCTCTGGGAGCTGTGTTCAGGCATCTGCTGCCAGCAGGGAAGGTGGCAGCCCCAGCTCTGGGGTAGACAACCAGGTAGGCAGATATTTGTGACCATCTGGGGAGGGAGGGAGTGGCTTCATAAACATGCCACGGCTACTGGGGTCTTGCAATTGCAGCACAGGACATTTTGGGTGGGGGTTGGCCCCAGCCTTGGGTGCGTGGGGACAGCAGGGGTCAGGCTGGATGGGGATGGTGGCACAGGGTCACCTCCAGCATGCAGCAGGCAGAGCACCAGGGCTGCCTCCAGCTCCCAGCAGACCTTTCCAAAGGGTTTTGCTCCTTTTCTGCTGATTGGATAAGGGTTATTTTCATCCCTGAAATGCAGGGATGCCACCGAGGGGTTGATGTTGTGGAGGACAACCAAAAGGGACTGTAAACCCCTTGGCTGGTGCTTGAGGAGCTCTGGAGACCTTTGGAAAACCTGCTGGACGCTGCCCTTGAGGGGAGCACCCTGAACACAGGCAGAATCCGGCCGCCACGGGGCTCTCGGCAGCACCAGCAGCTCTCCCCCAGCAGTGTCACGATGACAAATGTTTGTCTTTTCCGTCCAAGAGATTACAGCGGAGCCGCTGCCAGCCCCACGTCTCGGTGGAATTGGTGTGTGCTCTGCCAGCAGCGTTACCGGCTCATGATTCACATCTTTGCAGCAGCTTTGGAAGGAAAATGTGCTTCTCGCCGGGCAGACCTTCACGCACATCGAGATGCCACGGTTTTTCCAGACTTTCCGAAGGAAGCCAAGTGAGACATTCCTTCTCTTCTTCCAGCTTTCTTGGAACAATCTTCTTTGATTAGTGAGCGAGACAGATAGTTGGAAAGACAGATGGACAGGCCAGGAATAGGGTTGTAATGAGCAGTTCACATGAGCCCCAGTTGCCGGTGGGAGGGTCCCTCCCTCTGCCCCTCGCTGGGTGGTTGGTGAGAGCCCCTGCTGTTCTCTGTGGTCCCCCACCCCTGCCCTCCTCCATGGTCCCCAAATCCCTGCCCTCTTCCATGGTCCCCAAGTCCCTGTCCTCCTCCATGCTCCACGACCTCTTGTCCTCCCCCAGGGTCCCCAACCCCCTACCCTCCTTCATGATCCCCAAATCCCTGCCTTCCTCCATGGTCCCCAACCCCTGTCCTCTGCTGTGGACCCCATCCTCTGTTTCCCTTCATGGTCCCTGACCCCTTCCTTCTGCCCTGGTCCCCAGCCAGCACCTCCTGGGGCGGATTGGAGCAAGGATCTGACTCACCAGGGAGGATCACTCTGCCCTGAGGCACAAAGCAAAGGAGCTGGGGTTTGCTTTGCCTGTTGGGCCTAAGGCACAGGAAGCCAGGTTGGAAAAGCAGCCAAATGACTGAGGCATGGCTGGCAGATCCCGTGCGAGGGATGGGGATAAGGCTGGGGTTCAGGGAAGGAGATGGGACTTCCTGCCTTGCTCCCTGCAGCTGCACCCCCTCAGCCTCCCCAGCCTTGGCGCTCACTCCCACACCAGCAGGAGAAAAAAAAACAAGCATCTCCAGGGAATGTGTTTGGAAAATACCAGGTTTTATTAGACAGGCTGATGTTCAAGCTGACAGTTTTATCCCAATGCACACGATCATGGGCATCTACACAGGCCTGTGTTCCAGCTCCCTCCCTCCCGCAGTGCTCTTGGGTGAGACGCTCACCGCTCCAGTGCTGTGGGTGCTTGGGGTTTCTTCGCAGAATGAAAAGGCCTCCTTGCTCCCCATTTCCACTCCCACATTCCCAGAGATCTCCTAAGAAAGCTCAGCAAGAGCTGGGCTGGGAACTGCAATCCTCTTGGGACTGACAGCCACTTGGAGCCACGGGAGAGGAAGCATCGCAGTGGTGTCATCTCCCCGAGCCAGCACGGAGCAGAGTCATCGTGCGTGGCGGGGAGCAGGGAACAGACCACCACTGCTGAAGCCACTGATTCAGAAAGAGAACCCAAGCACACCAGAGGGGGAAAAAGGTTTTTGCTGTCACAGAGGAGCCACATCCAAGACGTGGGCACAGGGTTTTGCACGGGGCATGCAGGTGCCGAAGGGCAGAGGAAGGGAGGAGAAGAGGCGATGAGGGCTGGAAAATAAAGCAAGAGAAAAGGAAACCAGAGAAAGGATGGGGGGAACAATGGGAACAGCCTGAGAACAGAGCAACAGTGCCTTCAGGGGCAATCCTCCTTGTGGGGTGGGGGGCCTTTCCCTGGCTACCCCACGGGCTTTAGGGGGACAGGGCGACAAGGACAGAGATGGTGCGATACAAACCTCGCAAATAGAAATGTTTGATGGCCTTTGCTCAATGTGACAGTGACACACAGTGCAACAGCAGGAACAGTGGCAGCATTAGCCTGTTTCTGTCAGTGTTTCAATTCCATTACCTCTTGAGAAAACCATGCAGACCAGCCGAGTGGAGGAGAGTGAGCAGTGAGACAGAGAGGGACACCGATGAGCAACGGGATCATGTACAAGAAAGAAGGAACGGCAGTGGAGGGGCAGCAGCGCTTGGGCAGGTTTGAAACAGCACTTTGAGCTCATGCACTGACTCATGAGCACATCATTTCTCTCCAGGCTGCTCTGGCTGCTGCTCTCTCTGACATCCTGCTCGCCTTCCCTTGCACCTCCAGTCCCTCTGCACTGCAGGCAAAATCCCTCTGCCTGAGCCGTGTCCCTTCCCGTGCTTGGACGTAGATCTGGATCTTGGCTTTATTAGTTCAAATGTAAAGTCCTACCTCAAAGCAGAGGTCAGGAGTGTGGAAGTCCCTGGGGCAGCGTCCCCCCAAACTCACCTGGACTCAAGGGGACCTTTTCTTCGCAGCACGTGGGGAATGTGGAGCTCCCACAGTTCTCCTGCCTTAGCTCACATCCCGCTGCACACATGGAGATGTGGGGTGCTGCCCTTCACACCCTTCCCATCACAACACAGCCTTCCATTTCCAGCTTTCTCTTTCCCTCTTTCATTCCTTTTGCCTTTTTCTTGCCTCAGCCAGCACCTCCATGTCCTCTTGTTTCTTATCAAAGGTAAGTCCTTCTGCTCCAGAGGTTTCACCATGGACGTTTGGCAGGAGGAAGGACAAAGGATGTTCAGCAGGTCCAGGGTGGGCTTGAAGGTGCCAGTCTCCATCCAGGACAAAAAAATCTACCTCCTGGTTGGTTTGGGCTCGGGTCAGCAGCCAGCTGTGCTGTCCATGAGGGCCAGGTTTCAAGGTCAGCTGTCCATGGGGAACCTCACCCTGCTCGGGTGCTTCCAAAGCAATACTCCTTCAGGACTGAGCAGCGATGCTCAGAAATGAGCCAACAAATGGCTAAAATGGGAGGAGTTTGGAAAACAAGCCCCAGAAACCTGCCTGGACTGTCCTGGGGAGAGCAGAGCAGCAGGTGGGCAAAAGGGATGTGACCTTTTTCACTTCACAGCTAGTGACCCCCTGTTCCTGCCTCCCTCTGTGGAGCACAAAAACATGGGAGTCTGACTGAAAAATCATCAGCATAGACTTGAACAAGGTCAAACTGCCAAATCCTCACCCTCAGAGCCCTGCTGGTCCGCAGGTAGGACTTGCCAGCGTGGATTTTGAGTTAATGACACTCACAGGCACAAAGTGCCCTCTCCTGTGCTGACACAGGGGAATAAAACCCTGCTCACAGCTCCTTGTGGGACCATCTGCTCCTCCTCCAGCACAGCTCAGCAAGTGCTGGCCACTCCTTTCCAACCCACTTCCTCCTCTGACATGGACTTCCAAATCCCATCATGGTTACTTGTCTGGAGCTAAAAACACCCCTGCAAACGCCCCTCCTTAAGGTGAACGCCCAGGTGAAGGCTGCAGAGGATCAACTCAGCTGTTAAATGGAAGGAGAACTCACCAGGTGACCTAGAAGTCTTGGAAAGAAAAACAGGATCAATATTTGCCGAGATTTGTAGCGTGTTTGTGCGAGAAAACCACAGCTGGGTCCTGGCCTCTCTTTCCTTGAGCAGCACTTTGTCCTGGGGCTCCCGGTGGTGCCTGGGTTAGTGTGTCACTGCTCTCCCCTGTGCTCTCATGCCGTGCCCTCGTGCTCGCTCCCTCGTGTCTTCAGGGATGCAGAGGTTGAAATTCCTCTTCACGCACTCTTGGCATCAGTGGAAAAGCAGCTGCTGTTCTAGCTCCCTGTGCATTGCTCATACTTACAGCTTAAACATTGCCTTCTACTCGAAAGAACAAAGGTAAAATGTCAGGAATTCACAGTTTTTATTCTCTTTCTTATGCCCACCCATCTTCCCCTGCCATCGAGGTCAACGACTCAAAGTCCTCATCGTACGGCAGCCTTTGCCAGCGCGGCACTCAAAGGGTTAACAAACCATGGCTTTTTGGACAGATAAGACATAAGCTCATTCACCAGTAGGAACATGTGGACAGTTGGGTTATGGATCACCTTAGGGTTTCCTGTAGCGATTCTTTGGGGTTTCACCACAGCCGGTGACGTCGCAGGAGAGGACGTTGGGCTTCTTCCCCAAGCCGATGCTTCCCAAGAGATCGGGAAGTTCGCGGGTGATGGCCTTCTCAATCTTCTCCAGGAAACACCCTCCCATGTAGGAACACTGCTGAGACAGCAGCTTAAAACTGGTGATGGGGTTGATGCCAAAGAAGTCCTTGTAAGCCTCACGGTTGGGGAGGTCAAATTTGCTGACATTGGTCTTTGCCAGAATGGACTTAAAGATAAAGTACCTGTCAGGATCTTCCACAATGTCCCTGAACACCAGTTCTCCATCGCTAAAGAAGGTCATTTTGTCCTTGTAGGTCTGTAGGTAGCGATCGACCAGGAGGGCGTGGATGCGCACCCGGATGGCGTGCTGGCGGATGAAGGCGATCTTGTTTTCCATCCTGTTCTCAATCACCTGGTTGAGATCCTCCAGGAGCGATATCTCTTCCTTGAGGAACAGGTCTCTGTGGGTTTCCGGGTGGTAGTCGTGGGGCCAGAAGGAGCTAACGTACACCCTGGGTGGCTCTGTGACGTTGATGAGAGGAGCCAGGCTCCAGAATAAGGCGCCGTAGACTCTCATCAGCTCCTGGGTGGCCAGGCTGTCGGCTTTGTTCAAGATGATTCGGATCTGAGACTCGCGGCCCTTCAGCTGGCGAAACAGCATCTCCAGCTCCAAGCCCACGTCCAGCTTCGTGGGGTCAAAGACAACGAAGATGAGATCGGCTCTGTCAATGAACCACTGGCACACGTCGTTGAACGGGTAACCTTTAGGAGAGGAAAGAGAGAAATCCAGCAGTAGTGACCGGCACAGGGTGAGTCCCTTCATCAGGAGACAGATAAACCTTGAGCCTGTCGTGCCTTGTGCCTCATTCAGGTTGGATGGGGTGTGAGGCACAGCGGACTTCCCCTGCAGCCTAGAAACTGTTTCTCATGTGCTAAAACACTTCAGAGATGTAAAAATCCATCTCTGGATGTCTGAGGCTGTGACTACCTGTCTCCCTCAGCTCCCCCTTGAAATCTTTCTCCCTACTGTAGGCCACAGGTTCCTGCTGCTCCTGTGAGCAGATATTGAATCACAGGATCACAGAATCCTTAAGACTGGAAAAGCTCTCTGAGATCATCAAGTCCAGCCATTCCCCCAGCGCTGCCAAGGCCACCACTAAACCATGTCCCCAAGTGCCACATTCACATAACTTTTAAATCCCTCCAAGGGTGGTAACTATGCCACCACCCTGGGCAGCCTGTGCCAGTGCCTGACCACCCCTTCAGCGAAGAAATTTTCCCAAATAGCCAACCTAAACCTCCCCTGGCACAACTTGAGGCCATTGTCCTGTCCCTTGTTCCCTGGGAGCAGAGCCTGATCTCCACCTGGCTCCCCCCTCCTGTCAGAGGGCTGCGGAGCAAGAAGGTCCCCCCTGAGCCTCCTTTTCTCCAGGTTGAACCCCCCCAGCTCCACCAGCTGCTCCTCATCAGACTTGCACTTCAGACCCTTCCCCAGCTCTGTTCCCTTCTCTGGACACGCTCATCAGCCACATCATTGCAGATATCCAGGTCAAGGAGCACTGCTGATCTGTCCTGGCACCCCAGGTGCTCTGGGAACAGACTGGTGCTTGTCTGGGCTCCTCTGGAGCACCAGCCATTGGCCAAACCTGGCTCCAAGGGTGACAAACAGGGCATTAACCGGTCAGCTGAGGTGGACAATCAGCAGCCCAAGGAGTTCTGAAGAAATAACAGCAGAAATGTCTGCTCTGTGTATGTTCCCCAGGTCTGAACTGCTGCTGCCACAGCCATGGGCGTACAAACGTCACCATTCCCTCCAGTGCAAGACCCCTTTTGTGGCCCAGGGCTCTTCCCCATTGTGCTTCAGCCACCTTTGTCACCTCAGATCATTATGGCATCTTTTCTGGGGTCCCCCAGGTGAACCCAGTGAACCCCCACCTCGTTCTTGCTGCTTGCGGTTTTCGATGATGCCCGGGGTGTCCACGAAGGTGACTCGCTCCAGCAGTTTGTGGGGCACCTCGATCCCTATCAGCTTCTCCAAAAAGTTCTGCCCAAACTTCTCCAGGGGCGAGAAGGATCGGGCGCTGTCAGCAGCCATCACGATGCCCTCGATGGTCTTCAGCTTGGGGCCGTGCATGATGACAGTGAACTCGGAGGTGGTGGGTTCTGCCCCTGTGCAACAACGAGAGGAGCAGCAAGAGGTGTGAAATCCACGCCAAGGTTATGGACTCAGCAGGGCTGGCCTGAGACTGGGAGCATCACAAACATCAGGAGCATTGTGTGCTTTCCAAGAGACGGGGCAGGGCAAGTAGCAGGACTGTGAAATTCCTGCCCAAACTTCTTGGGAAAATGCCAGTGGGGCTTTTCTGTTTTCTGTGGGGGCTGGTTGCTCTGGAAATGGCCTGACTGCATAAGGTGCCCTGGGAAACCACCTCCCAGGAGCCTCGTTACCTCAGTGCTGAGGTGGCCACGGGCATCTGCTCTCGGCTGTGAGAGGACATCTGTGGGAGCAGGGAGGAGGGGAATGACTTTTCTCGTGGGAGGGTGAATTATCTGGCTCCATGTGAGGAGGGATGGTGGGAAGAAAAAGGCAAGTTGCCTTTGTGATGTGACTGCTGCTGTAGGGGTTGGGAGCCTCATCCCTGAGGATGCTGTGGGAGAGACACCTTCCTCCACCCTGGGGAGTGGGACAGGCCCTGGGCTGTGACGGGGAACCTCTCTCTGTGATGGCACCGCAGCCAGATCCCAACCTCCCTGCTGTGACAAGGGGGATCAAAGGCACGTGGCTGGGAACTGTTGACCACAAGGTGTGGAAATGCAGAGCGGTGACTGTGGTACCTGTGTACAGCTGGTAGGGAGTGTTGTCCAGCCCCAGGAGGTAGTTTATCATGGAGGATTTGCCGACACTCCACGGTCCCAGGAATAGCACCATAGGCTTGGAAGTGATCTCCCCATCTGCGGAGAGGGGAAATAACAAGAGGAAGTGAAGGAACAATAGCCGCCGCCGCCGTGCCATTAACTCCCGGCGGTAACGAGCATCCCATCCGAGCAGCGCGGTGGTGCTGCCGGGGCAACAGCCGGCCCTCGGGGGCCACCAGCCATTCACCAGCCAAGGCACTGCCCAGCGCCGGCCCCGGGACGTCCCCGTGCTCTGCGGCAGAGCCCACCTCGCTGCCTGGCGTTCCCCAGGTTTGGCCTTTCTACTACGGAGGACTGGAAGGTCTTTTAAACCTCGTCTCGGTCCAGTCCTGGTTTAGCCGGGGTGAGTCTGGGGCTGGCTGCGGGGTGGGGGGTGTTGTTCGAAGGCAGCCGCCGCAAAGCACGGGACGTGCCGAGGAGGAGGCCATGCCTGAGCCAGGAGAGCACCTCGTGCAGAGGGAGCTGCTGTGGTTTCAGGAGCTTCGGGGCTTGGTAAGCGCGGTGCAAGCCTGGTGTCAGCTGCCTGCAAGCCTTTCTTCCGTATCCTCACAGGGATCTGCCCCCGGGCCGTGGCTCCCAACCCGCTGGCCAAACAGGAGGTCACACTGGGTGTGAGCCGGGTGTGAGGCTCCAGCTGGATGTGGGGAGGGCAGGCCTGGCAAACAGCTCCACTTTGGGCTTGGGGGAAAGACAGGAGGAGAGTGAATTATAGCCCCTATCCCAGACTCTTCAAGTTCAGCAGTTTTCCCCAGGAGGCTGGTGATGTGCCCACAAAGACCTGTCCTCATGCCATGCCATGTGTCCAGGAGCACGGAGGTCCCTGGACACACACAGCCAGTGCCCCCCCAGGAGCAATCCCTGCTCAAATGGGACTCTTGCAATCAGCCTGTGACCACAGTGCCCAGCCCCCCCAGCCCCCAGGACACTGAGCAGGCAGTCAGCAGAGCCAGAGGAGGCCCCAGCCCGTGCCAGCCCCCGAGCTGTGCCCAGGATAGCCAGGAGACTGATGGTCGGTTCAGGTCCAAATCAGGCCAGGAATGGAAGTAAAAACTGGGTGAGTGAGTTCCCATTGGTGGGAACCAACCCCATCCTACACTCAGGATGGGGGAGGGTCCATCCCATTGCTGCCAGCAGGACTCCAGCCAGACGATGGGCTGGATGACACCAGAGGGGCTGGGAGCTGCTGTCTCAACCAGAGCTGAGCCTTCCACCGTGACCCAAGACAAGGAGATGCCCTTGAGCTGTGCTGCCCTCGGCACCTTCTCTTCATCCCTATGCCTAAGGTAGCTGAGAGACCCTGCTCCTCCATGGCTGCTACCCACACAGGAGCCAGCAGCTTTCCGTAAAGCCAGGGATCCATCTTCAACATGGGGGAAGCCACAAAGTCCCCATGGTGCTGAACTCCTGCCCCGAAGGCGCTGGAGGGCACTGCATGGCAGCTCCACACTGAACCCATCTGACCATGGGCACAGGAGCTGGGCAGAGTGTTCCGGTCTCCTCCTGCCCTCCTGCCCATCGCAGACCCACCATGTCACCACCAGGCAAGGGAATGGGCTGGGGACATCTCTCCACAGGGCACTGCTGCATCCATGCAGCTCAGCCCTCCACCCCAAAGCAGGGCAGCACCTCCAAAGCAGGGGATGGACGGCCTTTTCTGCTGCCCGCTCCCTGCCTGCAAGCCACGGGGATCCAACCTTGTCATCTCACACAGGACCAAACCAAATGTTGAAACCTCAGACTTTCATTATTAATCATTCCTTTGCCTCTCTGTCGCCGCTGCTCTGCTTGCTTGCCAGCTGTAATCGGGTTTCAGATGGTTGTTAGTATTATTATTATTCCCCTGTGATGTTGTGCCAGAGGTTTGGGGTGGGTCCCCGTGTGCTCTTTCATAACACGTCCCTGGCCAGGTGTGGCTGTGTGAACGTGGGCACCCGTGAACTCCGGCTCCGCTGCACGTCCACCCCTCTGCCAAGGGGCAGCCCCTCTGCCAGGTCACCCTCAGCTTGAGGAGCCCACCTCTACCCCCGTGGGCCGTGTGGGCAGTGCCAGGCACTGGGTCCTTGCAGCTCTGCAGGGAGCGCAGCAGCTCCCAGGACAGGGGGCCATGTGTGGATTCTCCTGCTGCTGCCCAGAGTCTGCGAGAGCAGGGAGCATCTCCCACCCGGGAGGGTGTCGGCCTGGCATCTGTCCCTGCTATGTCCTCGTGCCGCGTCTGTCAGCAGCAATTTGGGTCACCTTGATGGTCCGGACAGTGGAAAAGAGCCAGAGCTCGCCGGAGGCTGTGCTGGGACGGCGGCAGCTCCAGCACGGCGGCTCTCTCCAGCCACCCTGTGGCTGCTCGCTCCCAGCTCAAGCTCAGACGAGCCTCCAGCTCATCCCCCCGCAGAGCCTGTGTCTGCTTGGGCTGCTCAGCTCTGGGGGTTGCAGAAAATTGCAATTTCGATTTGCATGCCCAGGTAGCTTTTCTTTCCTAGAGCAGTGGCTTTCTGGGAGGTTTTTTCCTGTGGCAATGCCAGGCTGCCCTTTGTTAGGAGTGTTGCTGTTCTGGGGCAGGAGACTAGATGGCTTAGAGCCCCTTCCAGTGACTAAAGGGGCTCCAGGAGAGCTGGAGAGGGATTTTGGACAAGGGCCTGGAGTGACAGGACAAGGGGGAATGGCTTCCCACTGACAGGGGCAAGGTTAGATGGGACATTGGGAAGGAATTCTTGGCTGGGAGGGTGGGGAGGCCCTGGCACAGGTTGCCCAGAGAAGCTGTGGCTGCCCCATCCCTGGAAGTGTCCAAGGCCAGGTTGGACGGGGCTTGGAGCAACCTGGGCTGGTGGAAGGTGTCCCTGCCCGTGGCAGGGGGTGGAATGATATATCTTTAAGGTCCCTTCTAACCTAAGCCATTCCATGGTTCTATGATTAACACTGGGCCAGATGTTCTCTCTGCTTGTCCTCAAGCCCAGCAGAAGGGCCTGGTGCCAGCTCACCCCCCACGTGCAAGTCTGTCCTGAGGATTCTGGGCAAAGCAGAGGACCTGGCAAAACCTCCTTCCTCTCCTGGTTGAGACTGAGCCACAGACACAAAGGTCTTCTCTGTTCTCAAACCACCCAGGAAGGCTGAAACACCTGGAGAGACTCTCCCAGCATCACCCACGCTGCCACCCCATCCTTGAACCACATACACCAGCAGCCACCCTGCCCATGGCACAGATCCAGCAGCCCTTGGAGGGCTGGCCAGCTCACTCCCAAAGCTTCAAAATCCATGAGTATCCTCAAGACACGTGTGCCCACCGATGGAGGGATGAGCCAGTGTGGCTGCAGATGGCCTGTGCCTCCTCCACACTGTGCCCCCCCAGTGCCCACACCCACCCAGGCAACCTGCAAGTGCCCGAACCAGAGATGCAGATAAGGCAGCTATTGGAATATGCTATAAATACCTACAGCCCTCTCTGCTGCTGGCACACTGGCACAACAGGGAGCCAGAGGCTCTCCAGGCCCTGGCAGAGCTCTGCCAGAGCTGTATCCGTGTCCAAAGGAGCCCAGTTCAGCAGGGTCTGGCAGCGTGGCTGTGGGGCAGGACAGGAAGGACAGAAGATGGGATTCCCCTGCTTGTATCTCAGCAGGGACATTGTCCCCGTGGTGCAGCACGGGGACCCGGGGAAGGGCTGGGTGTTAGTTGGCATTTCTTGGACAGTCTCCCATCTCCTGCTTCTCCAGCACACCCAGAGCAGGACAGGCAGGGAGAGGAGCCAGCTCAGGGGGGCTGAGGCTGCCGGGCAGGGGCCAGCCCGAGTTACTGGGACAGCTGCAGCTTAAACTGCAGCCAGGAGGGATCAAGGGTGGACACTCACAAAAGTTTCTGTGTGCAGGAAGATGAAGGGTAGGAAGAGGTCCCCAGTATAGTGTGGGCTACTGGCTGGGCTCCTCCAGTTATGCAATGGATGAGAGATCAACCTGTAAGTCCAACCCATAGAATCATGGAATTGTTTAGATTGGAAAAGACCTCTAGGATTATCAAGTCCAACTACTACCCCAGCACTGCCAAGGCCACCACTAAACCATGTCCCCAAGTTCCACATCCACATGGCTTTTAAATCCCTCCAGGGATGGGGACTCCACCTCTGCCCTGGGCAGAGCCTGACCACCCTTCCAGTGAAGAAATTTTCCCAAATATCCAATCTAAACCTCGCCTGGCACAGCTTGAGGCCATTTCTTCTTGTTCTGTCCCTTGTTCCCTGGGAGCAGAGCCCGACCCCCACCTGGCTCCCCCATCTTGTCAGGGAGTTGCAGAGCCAGAAGGTCCCTCCGAGCCTCCTTTTCTCCAGGATGAGCCCCCCCAGCTCCCTCAGCCATTCCCATAGGACCACCACGAACTGCCATGGCCAGAGGAATATACAGAGGAATATACCCAAGAGGGAAATGGCCTGGGCGAGGTGGGAATTTCAGGAAGGAGGGGGCTGTTGGGACGTGGAGTCAGGCTGGGACAAGTGCAGCGACACAGGTACCAGGCTCTGGAAGGGCTGGGAACACTGGCCCCAGTGAGTGCCACGGCATGGCGGGTGCTGGGTCTGCTCGGTGCCGGGGAAGTGTGGCTGTGCTGAGACAGCTGCCTGGGACAGCCGGAGGCAGCGGGAGCTGAGGCAGCGCCGGCAGCATGCAGGGAGCAGGCAGCGATACCAACCTGTGGCCGAGGAGCCCAGGGTGCGTCCGGGGTAAGCTGTTAGCAGGGGACACGGGGAGAGAGAAAAGGAAATGTGAGTCCGAGGAGGGAGGCAGCAGCCTGGGTCTGGCCCAGGAGAAGGAGGGAGCTGACGGCCACATTCCCAGCAGGAGAGATGGAGTTACAGCCTGTGAGCGACCTGCAGCTCCCAGAATAAGCGCTGAACTCATCTTCCTGCACGACGGGGATGTGGCTCGGGGTGTCCTGCACCCCAACCCTGTGCTGCTCAGAGGGTTATTGCCTTCCCCAGAGGCGTTCACTGAGCACACGGAGCCCAGCCAGCCAGGGCTAGGACAGCCACCAACCTGGCAAGTGTCCTGGGGTCATCTGTACCCCACCCCCCTGGCTGGTGATGGCAACCGGGAGGTCATTCCTTACAGGGGGACACTTGCTAATTAGCACATATCAGTAATTAGGTCCACCAGCATGCACCACAACCTGGCACGACCTCACAGCAAGCTTCCCTTTGCCGGACTGGGAGATTCCCTGACCCTCAGCTAGGGACAGTCCCTCCAAGCACACGGTTGGACCCAGCTGGAGCGTGCCTGCATCCACGTGGGATGACTGAGCAGAGAGGCGGGAGGGTGGCAGGCAGGGAGAAGGAGATGGCATCTGCCAGGCTTAAGCAGAGGGTGTGTGGGAGCTCTCTGGGATGCACCCTGACAATTCAGAATTGATGGTGACAGTCACAACTCCCCCAGGACAGGTGACACTCAATTCCATGGGTGTTTTCACATGTTGTGGGGAGCAGAGGGGCTCCTTGGATTACACTGCTGTGAACAGAGCCGATGGGAAGGGAGACAAAATGGAAGGCTGCTGTGTAATGGAGGGGCGAGGGTGCCTGCGATGGCACCCCTCTATATTGGCTTACAGCTCCAAAGGTCACACATATTCCGTGACAGTCCTGCCTTGCTGCTCTCCCAGCTGTCCCACTCTTCCCAGCCAGCTGAGCCAGCAGCTCTGCAACCTCCAGCCTCCCCCCTCTTATGGGTGGGCACGGGGGTGGGGGCATCTCCCTCCCTGCAGGGACACCAGTGACGGAATGAACCTGCTCAGGACAGGGGCACCGTGCAGAGGAAGGGCTGAGAGGGCTCCCAGGGCGTCCTCACCTGCCCTGCAAGGTCAAGAGGGCTCCCTGGGCCAACCCTGTAACTAATGCGCAGGTTTCTCTAATTACACTGCTAATGAGGGACTGGGACAAGCTGGATCCGTGGGTATGAAAGGCAAACTGCTGAGCTGGAGGTTTCCAAGATGGGGTTGTGGGTGCCAGGGTATGGCTGGGCTGTCAGAGATCCTTCAAGGAGTTTGGTGGCCACTGAAATATTTTGGAGGTGAGGTTGTCTCACAGCTGAGCCAAGGACTGCAGGCAAGGCAGCATCCCTGTGCCCTGCCCTGGGGCAGCACTGGGGCGGCATCTGCACCATGATGGTGCCGTGAAGGGCACAGGGGTGTGTGCTGGGGGCTGACCCGAGAACTGTCAGCCCAAGGGGTGGCTGTTCCTCATGGTGAGGTGGAACAGACCACGGAGCATTGAGGTGAGGCTGTGAGGCACACCAGAACCTGCTGTCTGAGGTGAGTCCTGCTCGAGAGCTGGGTTTGAGAGGGGCTGGGAAAACACAAGGGTTAGTGGTTGTTTCCTCAGGAGCTGAGAGGGAGAAAGGCAGCGGGAACCCGAGAAACAACTGCTTCCTCCCCAAAAGGGAGCAGGAGGTGGCTCCTTGGGCATGGGATGTATGAAGGGCAGGGTTGGATGCCCTGAGGGCTGGAACTGAGGCTGGGGGCTGTGTCCTCTGGCTGTGAACAGCAAAGTGAGGGTCAGAGCCCACCAACTGCCCGTGTAACCCCAATTATCCTCCTAAACTGTGTCCCAGGTTGAGGTGACAGCAAACGCCACCAACAGGGACCAGAGCACCTTGGAGAGTAGTTTGGGATGTTGCTGGACCGGTGAGCTCCAGGATGGAGACAGGAGCAGGCTGTGGGGGTGCATGCTGGGATGCCAGCCCTGTGTTCCTGGTGCTCCTTTCCCAGGCATGTGGCAGTGTTGTGCTGGCTGTGCCAGGGGACAATCCAGCAGCTGTGGGGTGACAGTCAGGCTGCAGCAGGACGTGTTGCTGTGACCCTCAGTTACTCTCCCACATGGCAAGGGAGTCGTGGTCCCCAGCCACTGGCACCAGTATGGAGCAAGGCAGGTGAGGGCACAGCTCGTGTTCTATGAGACCCACTCCTTCCAGAATCCCGTGGGTGGGTGGTGGGTGATGTCCAGCATGCTCTGTGTCTTGAGGGGACAGGATCTGGGCTAGTGGTGAGGACTGTACAGCCCTGTCCCTGCCCCATGGGCTCCCTGTGCTCCCCACTGGCTCCGTGCTGGAGATGGGTTGGCTGGGTAGGGAGGTGTTCAAGCCTGTTTATGGAATGTCTGACCCAGGTTTAGGAGCTGCAGTGAGGATGCTTGGAAAACGGGGGTTCTGCCCTACAGGGATGTATCCCAGGGGTTTGTCCAGCTGAACATAGGACCTCTGTGCTGGTGGAGCAAGTCCAGCTGTAAAAGGCAGATCTGTGGGGAGGGTGTACCCTGGTCCTGCCTCACCAGGAGAGAGGGTGTGGCTTCAGGTGGTTGGGCCTGGAAAGCTGGGGATGCAGACAGAGCTGCAGGACATGGAGGACAGCTTGAGGACCTTGGCAGGGGGTGGATGTGGGTATGAAGCCCTGGGTCACCAGCAGCAGGGACTCCAGCATCCCCTGCATGATCAGAGGACATCTGGCCTTGGCTCAGGACAGGGGCTGGGTAGGGGTTCGTGGGAGAGCTACCCCAGTGAACAGGGACCTCAGACTTAGGATTGAACCCTCTGTGCTTGGAAAGTGAGGCTGCTTGTAGTCACAAGAGCTTTTTATACCTTGTGAGCATCTTGGGGCAGGGTTTCCTCTTCTGGAGGGACACGTGTGTGGCTGGGCTCAGCCCACACCATGCCAAGGGCCACAGGGACCTGCTCACCCATCCAACGTGCCTGAGATTGCCAAGGGGTGGAAACTCCAACGCTCAGGATGAGTGAAGGCTGTGGAGCTTGAGGGATACCGTGCCCACATGGCTGTGTCCTGTACCCATCAGGAAGGATGCCAGCTCCAGCCACCCCCAGAAGGCTCATCCCCAGCCTTGAGAGGTCCTGAGCTTCCTTGCCAAGGCTGTTTCGTTGGGCCGTGATCTCTGCTTGGCAGGGGGACAGGGCATTGATGTTGAGCAGGTGGGGGACCCAGAGCAGGCAGGGCTCAATGCTCAGCCCACACAGATGGCCCTGACAGCAGATGGGCTAAGGCAGATGCAGGAAACCCCGCCACTGGGTTCACTAGGGCATGGCCTCTAAGCCCAGCATGTGCATGGACTTCTTGGGAAGCTGCAAAGGAAGACACACTATCTGAGGCTTTCCATGATCTGCTCTCTGCGCTGTTATCTGCATCCCAGGGACCTGGTGGTGCTGGAGACCCCAGTGCCCGTGGCATTACCTGTGATCTCGTGCTGCCTCAGCTCATTGTATCTGTAGGAGTGCTCTAGGGGCTTGATGGAGGAGTGGTAGATCTTCCTCAGCCGCTGCAGTACTCCTGGGGGGGAACACATGGGCAGGTGAAAGGCAAACCCCACGGCCCAGGGGGAGTCCCTCCCTGGGGCATTCCCTGCAGGAGGGACATTCCTTGCAGGTCCTGAGGGTGGCTCAGCTGTGGATCAAGAGACTTGGCTCACAGCTGAAATCTTGGCCAAACTGATCCCAGTCACGCATTTTGCCCAGAGAAGCTGTGGCTGCCCCATCCCTGGAAGTGTCCAAGGCCAGGATGGATAGGCTTTGGAGCAACCTGGGCTAGTGGAAGGTATTCCTGCCCACGGCAAGGGTTTGGAACGGGATGCTCTTCAAGGTCTCTCCCAACCCAAATCATTTTAAGATTCTACAATTTTGATGCCTGCTAATGTTTCCTGCTGGGCACTGTCCCCATCTGCTGCCAGCAGCTGATGGAAGGAACATCCCTCCTAAGTGCTGTTTAGCATTCAACACCCACGATCCCAAAAACCCCTCCACCAATGTGCCAGGGCTCCCTGGCCTGGCCCTTAAACTACTCACTGGAAAAAAAAGAGGACCTTTTTCTACAGTATCTCTTATCACTGTCTTACCAGCCCAGACCACTCACGGGGCCTGCAGAAGAAATCCTTAGAGTAGCAAAACCCCAAAAATAATTGGAATAAAAATCCCAGCCCTTTGTTATGAGCTGCCCCAGGTTTCTCTGGGCAGAGATGTGTCTGATTCACCAACTGCATCTTCCAGCCTCTCTACCCTCCTAATTCTTGCACACCCATGGGACTGTCTTTAAAATACCTAAAATATGCTAACCCAAGAGCAGCCAAAGGGCAGTTATTGAAGATGTGGCATTACTGGACCTGGAAGAAGGAAGGTTAAAATCAAAACACTCTAGGGAAGGAAAATCCCCTCCATGCTCTTAGTGCAGGGTGGTGAGGAGCCTGTCCTGCAGGGATGGTGTGGGCTGAAGGAGCAGGGTGTGCATGGCTCCCTCACCTGAGACATCATCGGCAGGTTTTTCCTCGTTCAGCTTGAGGGTGTTCTCCAAGTGGGACCGGTCACGCTTGGTGGGCTCGCTGGCATCTTCAACCTCTTCTGGAGGAGAGAAGTGAGAGACCTGTTACTGCTGGAGGGGAGAACACACACAGCAGCTCACGCAAGCGACCGCCGGGGAGAGGGCGTGGGGAGCACACACACCCCGAGCTGGTGGCGTGGGGATGTACACACACCCCCTGAGCTGGTGGCGTGGGGATGTACACACACCCCGAGCTGGTGGCGTGGGGATGTACACACACCCCCCGAGCTGGTGGCGTGGGGATGTACACACACACCCCGAGCCGGTGGCGTGGGGATGTACACACACCCCCCGAGCCCGCGGGTGCGCCGTGCACCGGGGCAGCTGCTGTCACCCTCGACGTGCCACGTGCCTTCCCTGCTGCACAGGCTCCTGGAGGCTGCCAGGGCTGTGCCTGCTGGGGGAAGCATCGTGGGCAACTGCTTGGCTCCGAGGAGGGGCCGGCCGCTCCCGGGGAATGCGAAGGACGTGCCTGGGAGGTGCTCCCAGGGTTGGGACGCGGAACGAGTGCGTGGCAGCTGCTTCCCGACCGGGCCCCAGCGCTTCCCCCGGCGGCTGTGGCTCCCCGGGGGCTCAGCCTTGAGTGCAGACTCTACGCTGACATCTCTCTTTGCCCGTTCCCCCCCAAAAGTATACATTGAGCCAGGATTCACGAGGCTGGGGCTGGCTCTGGCTCCTGGGGGACGGCCCAGCCTGACACGTCCTGGCTGCCTCGCCTTTGCCAGCAGGGCCATTCCCTCCCAGTTCTCCCACCTCTGCCTCCATATCACCCTGGAGCCCTCTGCGTGGTGCCCTGTGCCTTGTGGCTCCGTCCCAGATGAGGGGAGCATGAAGCAGCTGCCTCCATCCAGGGAAGGCACCTCAGTGTCCCCAAAACTTGGAGACAGAGGTGTCCTCACCATGGAGGTGCTGGCACACCAACAGCCTCCAAGAGCTTTTCAGTAAGGGGAGCTGGGTTGGGCTGTAATGGGGGTTTGGGGACAGGGCTGGGGACACCAGGGCCAAGGGGGGCACCACCAAGCCATGGGACTGTGTTGAGCATCTACAGAGCATTGGGCTGAGGAAGACCTTTTGACTTGCCAAGTGAAGCCACAGAGACCAAACTGGGCTTGCCTTTTGGGAAAAATGGGAGTTTTTTTGAGCTGGCACGTTAGTAGATGAAAGAGAAAAAAAGACTCAGCTGGGTCCGAAGGTCGCTGCCCAACCTGTGGGCCAAAGTCTACAAGTATTTCTAGGAAATCATGGTGGGGGGTGTCCCTTTTCCTTAGTTAGCCTTTCACTGATTGAACGGGGCCAGCGCATTGATAACTCATTGGCCTGGATTAGCTCTTCACACCTTCCCTATGAGCCAAGAGCTGGTGGAGAAGAGACCCACCATCCCGGGAGCATCCTGCCCCTGCACCGAGCTGAGGGTCCGGAGGACTCTGCAGGTGGAGAATAAAGAGCCTTTAAGATGTCTGTGGGTGCTGGAAGGGGCCTGGGGCTTAAAAATCTTATCCATGTCCACATCCCTGAGAAGACATCATGGCCTTAAAGTGGAACGAGGGGAACATCAGCCAGTTTTGGTACTGCTGTGCCGAGCGCCCGCACGACGGGCACCTGCGGGCTCCTGCTGCACCCTGGCTGCCCACGGCTGTGTTAGGGGCAGGTGGGGAAGCACAAGCGTTAGGACAGGGCCATGCACTAGGCGAGGTTTAATGTGCCAAGCTCAGCTCCACCGGGGTCGATGGGAGGTCACTCTCGCCGCTAGAGCACACCCACAAGAAAAGATTCCAACCTATCTGGCTGTGCTGGGGCTCGGCAGCAGCTGGGGGGGTGATGGGGACCTCTGTTTCTGCCAGTGGGGGATTGTCTGCAGGGGGGTCTTCTGCCACTGCTGGGGGGTCTTCTGCCACTGCTGGGGGGTCTTCTTTTGCTGGTGGGTCTTCCACTGCTGCTGGTGGATCTGCTGCTGGCGGGTCTTCTTCGTCCTCACAGGGTGGGTGATGGCAGCTGGCAGGGCCACCCCTGGCTTCTCCCATGCCAGCAGCTGCTGGTTTGCCATGGCTCTCTTTGTCGGAAGTGCTGGCTGCTTCCTTGTCACCCTCTTCACTTTCATTCTCTGACCTCTCACCATCTTCCTCAGATTCTTTCTCCTCCTTAGGATCTCCCTCCTCCTCAGACTCTCCCTTGCCTCCATCTTCCTCAGACGCCCCGTGTTGACCTTTGTCAGACTCTCCTTGCTCATCATCTTCCTCCGAACTCTGCTCATCCCCTTCTTCTCCCCCCTCCAGAGCAGACGCTCCTCTTGGCTCCTCTGTTTCCTCTTCCCCAGGCTGCCCTTGCTCCTCAGAGCCTCCTTTCTCCATGCCAGGCTCCTCATCCTCCCGGGCATGGTTGGCAACTTGTGTGCCAGACCCGTGGATCCCTCCGTGATGTGCTGCCATGGCATCCTCCCCTGGGCTCTGTCCCTCCTGGCCCTTCTCCTCGGTGGTCTCCTCTGTCCGGCTGGCCCCTGGCCCCAGGCCCCTGCTCAGGCTCCGTGATGGTTCTTCCTCCCCCTCTCCACGTCCCTCCTCAGCGGCGCCGGGCAAGGAGGCGTTGGCAGTGCCACTGTCTTGCTCCTCCTCAGGGCTGCCATCAGCCACCTTCTCCTCCAGCCGGGGCTCTGTGGCTGGCAGGGGGCTTTCGGCAGCACCGTGGTCCGTGCCGGGGGCGCGCGGCTCTAAACGATGAGAACAGCTCGGTCAGTCTCACCCGCGCCGGCACGCGGCTACCGGGGCACCCTCCGACCCCTGCCAGCACGGGGGGCCCTGAGGGAGGAGTTGTGGCTGTTACCAAGAGGTTTAAACTCATCCCCAAACCTTCTCTAGTCCCAGCTCAATTTTCTGTCCCCGTCGCAAGAAGTTGGGCGCAAAGATGTGTTTGTGGGGCGCAAAGCCGGGCTGGCAGGGAGCTCTGTGGCTGTGCTGGCTGGGGCTGCCACCCACCACAAAGCACTGCGGGAAGGTGGCAAAGCAGCCCTAAAAAAACACAGGGGAAAGGAGTAAAAATAACAGTTCTGACAGGGGCTGTGGGCACTTGGCAGGTTAAAAGGGTCCTTCCCCAGCCCTGACTCAGGAGAGCATCACACCAGCCATGGTGAGTGGCAGGGTGAGAGGGAGGAGGAGGAAGGAGCTTCCTGGCACAAGGGGCTTCCCAGCACGGGGTCCTGCCTTTCCACAGGCAGGGACTGACCCCGGCTGCAGGGCTTGGGAGCTATTTATTGTGAGTGTCCCTTCACTAGGAAAGCATCTGCCTCGCCGTGCCGCTGGCGGGGACACAATGAGTTTGTTCTGTGGCCCGGGAGAATCCATCCGTATTTTCCATAGGCTCCAACTGCAATTTAACATTAGTCAACGGGTGCCAAAAATAAAAGATCATGGCTATACTGTCTCCATTACAAACAGTTGCTGCTAGTCTAAATAATCCCCCCAAACGCCCAGTGCCAGGGGAGCATTTCAGAGGAAAGTAATTCCTTTGTACACCAGCTGGCAAGCAGATGCCAGGCAAGAAGAAATACCGTCTCCACCCAGGCTGCGGGAGGAGAGCGGGCAGTGCTGGGCACAGGGAACCCTCTGCTCCAGCTCCCACGCCGTGTCCATGCAGGAGCCATGGGACAGTGTCCAGTGGAGCATCAGCGGGACCTCAGCAAAGCTGGGGCACAGTGGCTGAGTACGGGAGGCTCAGGGCTGGGAGCAGCACAGTGCGAGCCCCAGAGCACTCAGCCCAGTTTGCCCTGGCTGGGATGCTGGGTGGGTGGTTGTATCCCCATTGTGCCCGTGGGGCTGTTATCTGGGATCGGGTCGCACTGGGAGGCTCGTGCCATGCCAGCAGCGGGCACTGGGAAGGACAGGCTGCCCCCAGCCTGCCCGCATTCCCAGCGGCTCTCGGCTCCCTGGCACGACAGAGCCGCCGCCACGGCTCCTCACCGTGCCCAGACCGGATGCGTGGGTCACCCTGTCCCTGCCCTCACTGACCTCCCTGTCCTTTGCTGGCACACGGCTTGCAGGTGCATCTGGGCTACCAGTTCAGCTCCCAGATGGAAGGAAGATGGGTGGTGGGCAGCTCCCACCCTCCTCCCTCCTCCCTCCTGCCCTTGTCTTTCAGGCAGCACCTTCCCCTGGGACCCTGCAGGCGCTGCTTGAAGGGGAACATCTTAGGTTTGACCTGCAAAACCCTGGGTGGCTGAGGGCCAACATGCCCCTGCCTGGCCCTGATGGTCTGGGAACCAGCCTGGGTCACAGGAGGGTCCTCTAATCTGATGGGAATGGGGATATTGTAAGCTTGGGCCCAAAACAGCTGCTGACCTGGAGGGCTGGAAGAGGAGTGATGGTCAAAGTGGAGAAGGGGGGCAGGACCAGGCAGAGGAGACCCTGCATGTCCTGAGGGCTTTGTCTGGAGTCTGTGTGTCTCCTCTGACCCAGAGGGGCCATCACCCACCATGGCCAGGTGCAACTGCAACCCCAGTGCCCACCACCAGCCATCCCTCGCAGGGAGAGGGAAATATCCCCCAGGCGCTCTGATGGGGATGTTCCTGCCAGTGTGCTGATCATGGGCTTTTTGTCCTGTGACCTTCAATGTCTTACACAAAGTCCCTGTCCCCTCTGCACCTCCTGTTTCCCCTACATGGTCTCCCAGTCCCTGGTGGGGTGAGTTGTGCTGACCTGCAGATGGGCGGGCAACGAGCGTGAAATGGGCCGAAGGTTACGGGCTTAACACCCTCCGTGCACCCGCCGGGGGCTAAAAATAGGGCAGCAGCAACTGTACGTGGGGATCAGGAGGAGCAGTGGTGAAGCCCCAGCCCCCTCGGCCGCTGGCCCCGGCCCCTCACCCTGCTGTCAGCCAAGGGTGACGTCCGACCCTGGGGGCCCCCGTGGGCTCCGGGAGGGGACAGCCACGGTGTAAAGTGACACCGGGGCTCCCTGTGTTCACACCTTGCATTGTGCCAAGCAGATGGGTGGCTTGGGAGAGGAGCCCTCGCCCTGCTCCCCTCAGGGACCTGACCTCCCAGAGGATCCTTGTCCTGCACTGCCCCTGCCACCCCCAATCTTGTCCTGGGGGGCTGTCAGCTGCCTGGGGACCCTTTTCCCGGCAGTGACAGCAGGGATGGAGAGCTCACAATGGGACTCTGTGTGCCACAGGGTGCCACAGCTTGTTTGCACCCGGGAAAAGCCCATGAGGGAAGGATAGGGATGGCTGCCGGAGGCTGAACATCACGGAGTCCCCTCCATCCCTGCACGGGGACGTACAGAACGGCACAGACCTGGTGCCGAAACGGATCCTCCAGGAGGACAGTGAGGAGGGACTGATGGGCACAGGTGGCCCTGGAGGGACACTCTCCCCCTCTAGCAGAAATCAGAGCCTCGAGCGTGGGGCCGGTGATGGCAGGGAATGGCTTTTCACACGCCCCCTTCCCCTGCCTGGATCCCAGCCCCTGCAGCGCTGGGGTATTATCCACTGGCTCCTGCTAGTCCTGTACTCCCCACATCCTCCCTGTGGGATCCTGGGGGGACCTTGCACTGTCCATCCCTGCCTTTGTTCTGAAAAAGCTCTTTGAAACCTCGTGGAGAATGACTGGGCACAAAGTCTGGGACTTCCTGGGATTTTCCATCTGGACCTGCTGCAGATCCCCCCCCCTTTTCCACCAGACCCCATTTCATGATGATGTCCTTGCCCACCAGGCTCTGTGAGGTCCCCATGGCTTCCACTTGGGATTGAACCCCTGGTGCTCCTCTGGCTTGTGGCCCAGCACCAGTTTGGAGCCAGCCAGGCCAACACCTTCAGAGGGAAGTGTCCCACAAGGGCTCAGGCAGCCCAGAGGACACAAGACCCTTGTGCACCCCAAAACCCAGGATGCCCAGACGCATCATCACGTCCCAGAGGCTTCATGATCCCAAAACACCAGCATAAAGCAAATATATTCCAGTTTTTTCAATGCAGAGAGAGGTCTAGGAAACAGCTTTGTCAGACTAATTGGCCTCATCTGTGCAGGAGATTTTAAGTTTAGTCGAAAAAAGTTATAAGTTGATTTGATTTCTATAAAGAGTTGGATAGAACTGCATGATATTTTGATTAGAAAATAGTAAAAAAACCTCGCCAGGATCTACCAAAGGGATTAAAACCAGGCTTGAAGCTTTCTAAATATAGAGATGAAAATGGGGAATCAATGCTGCGGGGTGTTTGTTCCAGTCTCCCCACCCTAAAGATCTGGAAGGAACCCTGAACCCCTGACTTGCAGAAGGCAGGAAGACGAGGGAGGTGGGAGATGAAGCACCCGCTGCTTCCTGGCCGAGGAGATCTGGGTCTGTCGGTGAGAAGACAGCCCAGAAACATCAGGTGTTTTGGCACAGGCAGATGTCACGCTGTACATTGAGGAACATCAACCCTTGCAGGGTCTGCAGCCCAGGGAAATGCTGAGGGACCTGAGGGACATGCTGTGGCACAGCTGGGGATGGAGGAGGGACTTCCAAGAGGTCACACTGGGCCTGTCCCCTGGCCTCCAACCAACGGGAGGCTTCACCAACCCATCCCAGGAGTGTCCCCTGAGGAACACGCTCCATGCACTCAGGGCGAGCCTTCCTCAGTGAAGGAAGGCTCCCCATCCCTCTTTGGGTCATCCCAAGCATTCTTGGTCACCTGGGCAGCCCTTGGACTTGCCAAACTGGACTCTAATGCACGATGACCTGTTTTCCCAAAGGATCCTCAAATCCATGGGAATGTCTGGGCAGACACTGCCTGGTGGAGCCAAGCAGGGATACTCAGCCCTGGGGGTCTCACCCGGCAGCAAGGGGGACTCCAGCACAGGGACAGGGTCACACAGCTCTGAGCCCTGTCCCATGGCGTGCCCCATGTGTGGGGAGGGCTGACCCACGTGCCTGGCTGGCACCAGGGCTGTGCTGGCACTGCCAACACCCCATCCTGGCTCGGGGTGCCCACCCGGAGCCTCCCCGGCCCCGCCGGCAGCCCCCACCGGCACACGGGCTCACGGCTTCCTCCAGCTATCACTTACAGGGGAAATGTCCCTGTGGGCTGAAAATAGCCCAGCAGAGCCCTGCTATTCCTGCAGAGCCCAGGGAACAGGCAATTCCATGAATGATCTGGTCACCCCGACCTGCTGCCGGGCTGGGGTTTTGACACCCCGGGTCGGTGAGTGGGACACGGTGGGAACGTGGAAAGAGCGTTTTCCCTGGGCACAGCACAGCCCTCCCAGACCAGTGCCACCTCACAGAGACCTGCTGGTGTCCCTGTGCCATCAAGGCCATGCACAGGTGAGCCTTCTTGCTCGACTGAGGCAAAGGTGGCTGATGGAGAGGGTGTCCCAGCACAACCAACCTGCCCAACATCTGCTTTGGTTTGTTCAACCAAACAGCTTGGGAGTGAGATGGGGCACCCACAGGGACCAGGGTCTCCTCCAGGTGTGGCACCAGGGGTGTGACAGGGGTGCAGGTGGCACAAGCACCATGGGTGCCTAATGCACCCCAAGCCCCTTGTCTCACTGCAGCCACCCAACGCCAGTGGTGTCCATGGCTGTGCCAACGCTGGGGAGTGGAGTGAGTCCAGGGGGGTGTCACTGGGACACAGCTGTCCCCACCTCTGGGGACGCTGGTTATCATGGGCAGCATTGGCCTGGGATGGTCAGGGTGGGGGGTCTCCATGGGTACTGTGCCTGGGTCCCACAGTCCCACTCCCAAGATGTTCTGTCCTGGGAGGTGGGGCCCACCGTGAAGTGACACATTCCAGACGGTGGAGGACACCCCAAGGTGACACATTCCATGAGATGGCACATACCCCAAGGTGACATGTCCCGGGTGATGGGGAACAGCCCAAGATGCCATGAGGACGTGGTGATGGAGCTCATCCCGAGGTGACCCGGCTGATGAGGCTGAGGCGGGATGAGGACTCCCAGGGTGATGGCCCATGCTTGCTGTCTGTGCCAGCCCCACAGCGCCTTGCAGGAGGACACCATCATGCCACGGCTTTCCCCAGTCCCTCTCTCAGCTTGGAGGCAGTGATGGCATTGCCATCCCACTCAAATCTGTGCTGGCTGTGGGGCCAAAGGCTCCCCAGGGCAAAGCTGCCAAGCGTGGTGTCTGGGCACTGCCCTGCCAGCATCCATGTGGCCCATTCCCAGTGGCCACAGGGGTCACCCGGCCTGGGATGGCCGAGCTCTGCCCGAGGTGTGAGTGCAGGAGGAGGAGACCTTCCTGCAGGCAGGAGTGGATGGAGCAGTGGGTGAGTGCCCTCAGCATGAGCCACCTGCAGTGGGTGCTCGTCCCTGCTGGGGCTTCTGGCCATGCTGGGGAGCTTTGCCAGCTCTGGCCACATGGGCCATGGGTCATTTTGACTGGGACTGTAGGAGCACAGGCACAGGGCAGTTCCCACACCTGGCCTCTGGGAATGGTGACAGGGTCCAAGTGGCCCCAGGCATCACTAAATCCCGAGGACCACGCCTTGCCATGATGCCTCAGTGAAGGCCTTGGTTCCCCATTGGACTCCCCCACCCTTCTCTTCACCAAACAGGGGATGAATGGAAAGACATGGCCTAGAAACAGAAGAAACATCCCCCACAAGCCACTTCCTGCACCCCAAAGGACCTGGGTCCAAGAGCCTGGCTTGGCACCAAAGGAAAAGCAAAACTCATCCTGCAGATCCCACCAGTCCCTGTGGAGCAGAACCATGGGCAGGTGCCACTGCTTACAGCTTTTTTCCAAACCTACAGGATCAGAATAAATTATGGGACCTCTCAATAAGCAGGAGATGCCAAGTGTGGGGACTTGGGGGGCTTCAGCCACCCCTTGGGGACCCCAGGGGCCTCCTTTGAGAGGGCCATGCCAGCCTCAGCACAACCAAGACCTGGGCTGGTGGTCACCCACCATGGTGACAGCCCCCAGATGTCCCACAGGGCCACCAGCCCAGCCAGAGGTGCCACCTGCCACCAGCTATGCCCATAGAGGTCCTTTCCAACCCCCACCCACAGGCCTGACCGGTGGCCCCATGGAGGTCACCCCAGCACTGTCGGGGTGTGTCACTGGCCCCCAAGCCCATTCATTCCCAAGAATGGCCCAAGATGCCCTTAAAAGGCCAGGACTCGGCGGGGCGGGGGGTGCCGGGTGCTGGAAGGCGGCAGCTGCGGGTGCTCGAGCGCGGGGCTGCGGCGGCGCGGGGCGGGGGGGGCGGCCGGGGGGGCTGCAGGGAGAGCAGTGTCCCCTTACACGGCTGTTTCCATACATAGCCGCCCCCCTCTCCCGGCTGCGCGGCCGCCGGAGCCCGGCCAGGCAGAGAACCAGCCCAAATTAACTCAAGGGCAAGCAAGGGTACCGGCGATGCCGCCCCACCACGCGGCCCCAGGGACACCCGGCCGCGGATCGGGGTGCTGAGCGGGGATGGGACAGCCCGGGGAAGGGGGTCCGGGGTCATCAGAGATCCCCAGAGCCCTGGCAGCCCCCCCCCCCCAAGTCCTCACAGTCCAAAATCAAGCCACCATGGCACCCACAGGTGACACTGCCCCCAGGGCATGGTAGCAGCAGCACAGCCCGTGCGCCCACCCTGACTCCATAGGAGGGACCCCAGTCCGCACCCCCCGCCATCCCCTCCTGTCCCTGGCCCCCCAGCACGTTTTGGGGTGACTCTGCAGCCCTGGCAGAGCTGCCAGGAAGCCCAGCCGGCTGTACCCCTGCCGCCCTGCCCTGCTCCCAGCACTTGGGGACAGGCTGGGCTCACCGGGCACCCCGGAGCCTCATCTGCACCTCAGCCCCACAGGCACCCACAGTTCTACCTGGACCTGCAGCCCCACAGGTACCTGCAACCCTGCAGGGCACCCACAGCCCTGCACAGGCACCTGCAGCCCTGTGGAGACCCCACAGCCTCCTTGGGGACCCCCCCAGCCCCATGGGCACCTGCAGCCTCATAGACCCACAGCCCCATGGGATCCAGCATCCCTATGGGGACCCACAGCCCCGTGAGGACCCCATAGCCCTGCAGGAACTCACAGTCCCATTGGGACCCACAGCCCCATGGGATCCCCACAGGCACCAACAGCCCCATGGGGACCCTACAGCCCCACAGGCACCCGCAGCCCTGCAGGGACCCTCAGCCCCATGGGGTCCCCTCAGCCCCATGGGGTCCCCACAGCCCCATGAGGACCCCACAACTCCACGAGTTCCCCAAAGCCCCATGGGGTGCCCACAGCTCCAAGGGCACCCACAGCCCCACGGGGACCCCATAACTGCATGGGCACCCACAGCTCCATGGGGACCCCATAACCCCACGGGCACCCAGAGCCCCACAGGTCCCCACAGCCCCGTGGGGTCCCCACAGTCCCACGGGGTCTCCACAGCCCCAAGGGCACCTGCAGCCCTGTGGGGACCCCATAGCCTTGCCAGTTCCCACAGCCCCACGGGCACCCCCAGCCCCCGGGGGTGCCCCCAGCAGCCCCCCAGGCCGGTGTGTGGCTGTACCTGCGGTGCTGAGGAGCAGGAGCGAGGCCACGCAGCAGCAGAGCAGGTTGAGACCCTTCATGGTGGCTGCCAGGAGCTCCCTGACGCTCGCTGCCTCTATTTATACGGCGTCGGCGCGGGGCAGGGCAGGCAGGGCAGGCAGGGCAGGCAGCTGCCCGCACAGATGCTGCCGCGGCCGTTCTTCCGCTCCCAGGGGCCCTCCCTGGGAATGGGGACAGGGACGGGGATGGGGCACAGCGGCAGGACTGCAGCGCTGGGAATGGCTCGTGTCGGGGATGCAATGGCACAGGACACCTCCTGGCGTGGGGTCCCTGGGGTGGCACTGCCCATGTGGGGTCACTGTCCCTGTCACAGTGTCCTGCTGGCGTGGTGTAGTGGAGCTCCTTGGGCTGCCTCAGCTCCCGCAGCCCCTTTTGGGCTGGAGCAGGATTTTATGGAGGGGAAGTGCTGAGCAGCACAGCACTGCAGTGTCCCCGAAGGGAGGTGTCCCCAAGCACCTCGTCCTGGGCTGATTTGATGTCCCCTCAAGGCACCACAGGTCACAACCCGATGCCACACACCCCATAGGCAAGGCATGTCCCTTCCACCCTGACAGTGCCCCCACTGTCACTGTCACTGTGCTGGCAGCGTGGCACGGTGGGCAGTGTCCCCTCCTCACAGCCAGAGGCACAGGGTCACCAGCTCCTGGCACCCTCGCTTGTGGGAAAAGCCAGTGCTGTCCCCAAAGTCTGGCTGTAGCAGAGGGGCCACTGGGCTCCATCACTGCAGGAGCCACTTCTGGGGGGCTGTGACCCAGCTTTTCCTTGGGGAAGAGGCCGAGTGTGGGAGCAGAGGGAGCCCCTGACCCTGAGATGGGGGTGGCAGGGAGGGGGTGATGGTAGGGAGCAGGCAAGACCTAGCCCTTAGCTGGACACCATGGATGGCCACAGCATGGAGGGGGAGTGGGAGAGACTCACAGCTATGGGGGGATGCAGAGAGGTGGGAAAAATGGGTGCACCCCCCCAAAAAAAAAAGCCACAGAGAGAAATGGGTACCTCCCACATCCTGGTACAGGGACACCAGAGGTGCCATCCCTGAGGCAGGGGGGACACTGACCCCACCCCAGCTGTGTGGTCTTATTAAAACCAGCCCCAGCCCTTCCCGCCATCTCAGCAGTGAGCTGAGCCCTGAGGTGCTCGTCACACATGTGGGCAGCTCTGGCAGGGCTGAGCCTTTAAATTTAGCCCGGCTGCTCAGCGGGAAACCTCGCCAGGGGCGGCATCCTCTGCCTCTTGCCCGTGATTCCCAAGGCAGGCAACGCTCCCCTGCCCTCCCCACCCTTCCTCCCCTGGAGGGACCAGTGTCCACGAAGGTGGGATCCATCCCTGTCCTGTCCCCAGCCCTGCCACAAACGTTAACACCGGGACCGAGCTTCTAAAAAACCAAGTACAAACTTTATTTTGTTTCTTTACAAAGGCACGAGCCTCTTTTTTTTTTTCAACTTTCTTAACAAAATAGAATAGCTTCTCAATCAACACAAAGACCTGAAAATCGTAAAAAAAATACAAAAAAAACCAAAACAAAAAAAAACAAACAAAAAAAAAAAAAAGGGGGAAAGGAACCGAGAAACAGCTGCGGCTGGGGGGGAACTTACCAAATACCACCGAGGCTCTACACACGACTGGCCTAAAACCCTACAGCCGGGGAGGGGGGAGGCAGGGCGAGGGGGGGATCCACCAAACAGGGGCCCCCCCACCCCCCACGACAGACCCAAGCGACACAATCACGAAATAGAAAAGCTCTTCGGAGCTGATGGACCCCACAAACTGGATTAAGTGCTTAAAGGAGGGATGGGAGCAGAGTTGGGGGACAGGGATGGATACGGGGATAGGGGTGGGGTTGGAAAAATCAGCCCCCACCCCGCCATACCCGTGCCAAGGAAATGAGGGTTGGAAATACCAGGGAGGGGTGGCACGTGCCGACCTTCCTGCCTGTGCTCCAATGGCATCATCCTGGGATTATTTTACTATCCAAAGGGGTTTTTCCTGCCCCACGTGGAGTGCGGGAGCTGTGGTGGGGCTGGTTGTACCCTGAAGCCAGGGGTCCCTGTCCCACCTTTGCTGCCGTGCCACTTGGCATCTCCCCCCTGCTTAAAAAAACGAACATTTAATTAAACAAAAACAAAAACAAAAAAAACACAAAAGAGAAGGAAAAAACCAAATTAAGATCCCAACCAAAGGCCCTGTCCCAAGGGAACGCCATCAGGAACAGCGGGGCTGCTGCTGGCTTGGCAGGATTCCCTGTGGGTTGGCAGGTGGGGGGAGTGATAAAAAAAGGGTGGGGAGCTGTGACTCCCATCCCAAACGCCCCCCCCTCCATGCCCCAAGCCCCCTGCATCCCACTGTGGCCGCCCCCCGGGAGCTGAAGGGTGACCTTTGCCTGCCTCTGGCGCTCTGCTTTACAGTATTGGAAAAAGGTCATAAAAGAGACCCAAATCGCGTTGTATTTTTTAAAAATTTCAGCATATTCTCTGACATTTCCCCCCCCGCCCTGGCTCCCCTCCTTGGCTGCCGGCTGGGGGGTGTCAGGGCAGCTCCCCATCCCCCGAGGGCTCTTCTTTGCTCTGGTCCATGGAGTCACTGTCGTTGCCCTCGGTGTCGGAGGCGGTGTCGGAGGCGGAGGGCTCGGGGCAGGCGCGCACCGGCGTCACGATGACGGCGCGTCTCTGCTCCTCTTCCTGCAGCTGCTTCTCTTGCGTCCCCTCGATGTGCTGGATCGCCTGCCGAGGGCAACCACCCGCCATCAGGACATGGTCTGTGTCCCCTCTGACACAACCCCGGGGGTTAGGGACTCTCCAAATCCCCCCCGTTGCCATCCGCCCCGACTCACCTGAACGATGGTGTCCAGGTTTTGCCGGGATGTGGAGACTGTGTTGATGACCGAGGACGGGCCCATGGTGACCACGGTGACGTGATGGGAGGGAGGCGGCGCTGGAACGATCACGGTGGGGTGGTGGGTGGGCGCTGGGGGAGCATGTGATGGCAGGAGCTGGGGAGAGAAGCAAAACCCCCCCGGTGAGCAGGGACCCGAGCAGTGGGGAGAGCATCACGCTTGTTCACTGAGCCCAAACTCCATAAAAGCTGAAGCATCACTCGGCTGCTCCAGTTCTCCATCCCAATGGACGCAGGAGGATGCCAGCTGAACGCTGCTGCTGCCACCTCAGCTTTGGCAGAGTGGAATGTGAGTATTCCCCGTACCCCAAGAGGGAATGATTTGGGCTTTGAAGTCAGGAGAGGCAAGTGCCAGGCCTCCCTTCACCCTGACCTGCATGGCCAGGAAACCCCCACACCCCTGGGGATCCTCGCTTGAACAGTGGATGGGAAGACCCGCCCAAGCAGGAGGCTATGTAGAGTTCACCTAAAAATAGGCTGAGCTTTCCCAGGAGGCAGCGGCAGGGACCCTGTGGGGACATGGCTTCTCAGAAGCCCAAGGAAGGTGGAAGCTGGTGTTCCTCTCTCCTTTTGAAGCTCCCAGAGCAGTGTGGCCATGGGCTGGGCTCGGGGGTGGCAGCGCACAGGTGCCAGCACAGCGCTCACCTTCTCCCTGCACCTTTGGCAAATCCAACTGTGCTGCAGGAAAGGCTGAAGGCTCCCATCCCCACTGCCTGCCCGCTCACTGCTCCCTTTTCCCAGCCTGGTGGGTCGCAGGGAGTGGTCTGGGGGTCCCTAAAGCTCAGTGGGAGTCACTCAGTGAGAGGTGAACCCCCAGGGATGAATCCCTGCCCACCAGCAAGCAACCTTCCCTGTACAAAGCCCTCCGTGACAGGGAGCTGAGCTGCTTGGAAACCACCACGGGTGGTCCAAGCCATAGTCCCGCTGTGAAACAAGGGGTGCACACAAGTACAACCCCCTGAGCACTGCAGGGGCTTTGGGCCGACCCCTTCCCAATTCACCAAGGGTGAGAGCTTTGCTGGGACATCGCTGCCCACAGGAGGTGCCAAGCCCATCACTAAACTGCCCCAACCTCCTGTATTTCACCACCTGGGGGGATCATGGGTGGGCCACGGGCAGGATGGGCTGGGGTGCACTCACCTGGGTTCGGATCTGCTGCTCACGCTCGAGCTTCTCCTGGTGCAGCAACCTCACCTGCTCCTGCTGCTGCTGGAGCTGCACCTGCTGAGCGATCACCTTCAGCTTCTCGGGGTACATGTGGGCCTCCAGGGAGCGAACCTGCGGGCGAGAGAACCCTGACATCAGTGAGGAGACGGGCACAGCACCCCTGAACCACGGCTGTGGGCTGTGCCCTGCGTGGGGTGGGCACAGCAGAGCCAGGGAGCCCTGACAGAGTGTGGAGCAGTGGTGGCCAGAGCAGATGTCCCGTGGCAGTGCCGGTGTCCCAGGGATCTGCTGGGGCCGTGGCAGAGCCTGCTAGAGGGCACCCAGCCTCACCTGCTCCTCCAGCATCATGCGGACTGAGCGCTCCTTGTCCAGCTGCTGCCGGAGCTCGATCATCTCCCGACGCAGATCCTCGGCCTTCTCATCTTCCCAGATGTCCGGCGAGCCGATCCCCTCGTCTTTGTCCTCCGCCCGTCGCCGTTTCGGGGAGGAACCACTGAATTCCTGCCGTGGGAATGTGGTGTTAGGGGACAGGGACCAGCCTGGATGGCCTCCCCACCATCCAGACCACACTCGGGTGATGCCACCCCCCACCACAGCTCCCTGCTGGGAAGGGTCTCTGCAGGGTTGTCCTTGATGCCTGGGGATGGACAGACTCCTGCATCTGCCCCCCATCCTGGTCCTCACCCCCCCAGCCTTGTGCCAACCCGGTTCTCACACTGTGATACCCAGAACAGTTCAAGCTGGGCACCCCAGCACCAGAATTGCCACCGGGCCGTACCCCAACATCCCAAATGGAAAGTGGGACCCCAGCCCTTCTCCCCCTGCCAGGTTGAATGGGGCTCCCTGCCCTGCCAGGAGAGTGGAAACATCTCCGTTCCCCGGCTGATTAGGGTAGAGGGTCTTGCCCTGACCCCAAGAAACAGTGATGATGTCCCTCCCTGGCCAGCTGGGACTGTCCCATCTCCTCCCGTCCCATCCCTGGGGCACTACCTGGATGAACCGCTTGAGCTGGGTGTTCTGCTGCAGCAGCCGAGTCTTTTCCTGCTCCAGGGAGAATATGTACTCGGCTGTCTGCTGAAGGATGGCTGCCTGTGGGAGAGCCAGGAGGGGCATGCTGAGGCAGGAGACCATACTGTCCCCCCAAACCTCCTCTTGTTGAGCTCCCTCCCTGCCCGGGAGGCAGCAGCACTGCTCCATACCCGGCCCCAGCACCTCCCTTCAGGGTCTGCTTCACCCGCAGGTCCCCTCTGGGATTTCCACCACAGCAAAATCCTCCAATTCCATTTCAGGAACCTGCCTGGCTGCCGAGCACCTCCTCAGCCCACTCCCCTCTGCAGCAGGGTCTCCTCCTCACCCAGGCACAATACCCTGCTCCTGGGGCACTGGAGGCTGCCACACGCACTCAGCCACTCCAGGTTGGCGGTGCAAACCCACTCCCACAGGGAAAACACCCCAGGAGAGACCTCGATCACTGAATTAACATATGCAAATATCCCCAATTGCACTTTCAGCCCCTCCCCGTGAAGGATCAGTGTCTGCACCCCACACCACCACAGCCCCGGTGACATCCTGCTCACCTTGCTGAGCTTCTCCCCGTCCGTGTGTGGGATGAGGGTTTTCAGGGACTGGAAGCCAGCATTGATGCTCTGCATCCGCCGTCTCTCGTTGCTGTTGGCGATTTCCCTGCGTATCCGCCGCTCCTGGTCCCGCTGGGTCTCCGGAGTCAACGGGATGTTGGCCAAGCTGCGAGAGAGATGTGGGGTTAGGGAGGAGGGGGCTGCACCCCTGCTGCCAGCTCACTCCGCTGCGTCCCCCCTTGCTTTGCAGTGGTGATTCCAGACATCAAGAGGATTGCCGACGCAGGTGGGTGGGTTTCTCCAGCCCTGTATCCGAAGCTTTGGGGGATGAGTTGACCAAACGGTGGCCCCACTGCAGCCCCCCAGCTCCGATGGGCTCGGACACGCTGCCCAGTGCCAAGCCCGGGCGAGGGGAGCCGGGGACCCCCGGGCGGGTGAGGGAGGCTGTGGGCCGGCCGGCTGTGTCCCCATGGGGCCGGCCGGCGTGTGTGGCCCTGGGAAGGCGGCTCCCTCCCTCCCGCCCCGCTGATGGCTTCCAGATGACAGCTCCCAGCAGAGAAGCCCCTGTCCCACCCCAAGCCGCAGCTCCTGCCTGCTTCCTGCCGCTGCCTCCGCGCCCCCCACGCCCTTGCCCCGCAGATGTGCAGGGGAATGCCTCCCGGAACCAGCGATGGCACCGGCGTGGAGGGCTCTGGACAGGCAACACCCGTGGGTCCAGGGCACCGGACCCCAAGCAAAGCCCACCACTGCGGGGTCCAGCTTCTTCACCCACACCCTGCTCCTTCCCCTAGGGAAGTGGGGAGGGGGTTTGGATCACAGGGATGGTGAGCCTGCTGGGCTGTCATACCAGCTGGCCATCCTGCCATGCCAAAGCCACAGGCAGCCACACACCCGGCACCCACTGTTGCCGGGGATGTTGCAAGGCACCAAAGACTAAACACAGGAGCCAGGCTGCCGCCACAAGGAGAGATAAGACGGGCTCCAGTCACCCATCCAGGTGCCCGGTGGCTCCGGGACAGAGATGGGAATATTCCACCCAGAGCCTTGCCAATGCCAGGCTGGGAAGAAAAGCCCGGCATCCTGCCCTCACTGCCCTCCTGGTGAGGCCGTGGAGGAACCACAGAGATTTGAAACCCAGGGGTCTAAGTGATACTTGAGGTACCACCGTGTGCCCAGGTAGTGCCTGGAGGCTCCCAGGCAACCCATCATTGCTTGTTGTGACCTGGGAATGCACCACAACTCCTCAAAAATATACAGGGATGGGGAAAGACCCAGTTCATCCCAGAGGGGTGGGGAATGATCGTAACTCAGCCCAAGGGGAAGGGAATGGATCCCAGCTCAGGCCAATAAGATAGAGAAGAATCGCAGCTCATCTGAAACAAACAGGGAAGGATCCTAGATTACCCCAGACGGATGGGGAAGGATCCCAGCTCAACCTAGAGGGACAGGAAAAGATCTCAGTGCATCTCAAGGGTATGGGGAAAGGCCCCAGCTCAGCCCATGGGGCCAGGAAGACATTTGTCCCCAGCCTCCAAGGCAGCATCCCAGCACAGGCTGACACTGGGTGTGCCAAGAACCCACCACACTGGTTCCCTCACGTGCAGTTCCCAATGGATGTCCTGGGGTTGTGGATCTGGGATGGGTGCCCAGGGGTCTGCCTCTCTCACTGGGAGCAGCCATCTGTCACATGGACCAAGAGCTGTTTGCAGTGGGATCATGGCACAGGGCTCCCATCTGGTGGTGGCTGTCACCCACCTCCCTGCTCCTGCCGAAACCAGCCCCAAACTTGTTCCTAAAACATGCCAAACCCTGCAGGTCTTGGGGGCAACATCCCTCGTGGGGATGTGGCCAGAGTGCTGCTCCGGGATGTTGGACCACCAGACACATAAGGGGAACGGGACAGAGAGGCCCAGGACTGGGCAGCGCGGAAGCGGCTTCTTAAATACCGGGGAAGGAGGAAGAGCCTGCTTCCTTACCGACAGACCTCCCGCAACCTGCCCCAGCTGCTCTTCCTGGGAAGAGACCTGAGAAACGAGAGAGATATGGAGAGGGCAAAAATCCATGGATTCAGAAGCCATCCAGGCACCCAGCACGACCAGGGATGGGGCAGGACAGAGGCAGGGGGAACAACTGGCAGCCATCAGAGCCCCCAGGGTATCCCCAGCCTAGTGCTGGTGCTGTGGGGTTTGGGTCAGGCAAGCAGAATTTGGTCTTTCCCACCCTGGTGAGAACATCCCACGTGCCTGGACCTCCAAGGAAACAAACCCACAGGGGGTGTCAGAGCAGGGCACACGTCCCATGGCAGATGTCCCCACTGCCCACTCACATCCACCACTGCCCACGACTGGTGCTGTGGGTTGTGCTGGTGGGCAGAGGAGGCACAGGCACGTGGGCAGGATGTCTCTGAGCTCCCTGGGGTCACAGGTGGGGTGTCCCTGAGCTTGCAGGCAGGGCGTCCCCACGCTTCCATGAAGGGCATCCCCATGCTGACTGAGCTCAGGGTCAGGGTATACCTGAGTGTACAAGCAGGGTGTAGGCAATCCCACAGGTAGGATGTCCCCCAGTACCCCAGTTCACAGGCAGGGCATCCCCCAGAACCCTAAGCTTGCAAGCAGGATGTCCCTGAGCTACTTGAGGTCACAGGTAGGATGTCCCTGAGCTCTCAGGCAGGGCCGTCCCCAGCACTCCAAGCTCCATGCAAGGTGTCATCCAGCACCCTGAGCTCACAGGTGGGGTGTTCTCCAGCTTCTGGAGCTCCAGGTAGGGCATCTTCTAACACCCCAAGCCTGCAGGCAAGGGGTTCCCCAGCACCCCAGTCTCAGAGGCAGGGGGTCTCCCAGCACCCTGAGCTCCACGCCGGGTGTCTCAGATGTCGGGGCAGTGGGAAGGCTGCGCAGCTCCCCGAGCTCTGCCCCGTGCCGGGGTCAGTGAGGGACCAGGCAGCCCCCCATCCCCGGGCGGGACAGCCGCATCGCCCTGCCCATGCCGTCACCCCCCCCCCCAACCCACGGGCCCGCAGTGACTAACGCGGGGGACCCCAGCGAAGCCAGCCCCCGCCCCGTGTCCCTGCTCCGCCGCTGCACCCCCGGGGGAGGGAGCTCAGGTGTGGGCACCCCCCGAGATCACCGGGACGGAGCCCCTCATCCCCGTGGGGCAGAGGCAGCACCCCGAGGGGCCGGGCCCCCAGCACGTGCCGTGGGGCCCGGGCTGCCCCACGGGGACTTCACGGGGCCGCCGCACGGCGGGGCCGGGCCTGGTGGGGGATCGGAGCCCCCGGGGGGGCTCAAGGCCCGGTGTGTGTGCGGGGAGGGGGAGCTCGGGGCCGCCCCGCGTGGCCCCGGGCCCGCGCCGCCCCTCCCCGCCCGCCGCCCCCCGCAGCCCCGCGGGCACGGCCCCCATCCCCGGCCGCCCCTCCGCTCCCCGGGGCTCCCCGCGTGTCCGCGGGCTTTGTGCCGCCGCTCCCGCACTACATGTCCCGGCAGCCCCGGCCGCGACCCGCCTCCTCCGGGCGGCTGCAGAGTCACGGCCAGGCCCGGCGGTAAACACACACCCCCGCGCCCCCCGGGCGCCCGGACCCCCGCGCCCCCCGCCCCGGGCGCCCCCCGCCGCCCCCGCGGGGGCCGGGCCGGGCTGCGGGGCCGGCGCTCCCCGCCCGGGCCACGCGCGGCCGCCGGCCCCATGTGCGCGGCCGGGACCACGTGCGGGCGGTGGGGCCGCGGCGGCCGCGCCGCTCCCCCCGCTCCCCGGGCCCCCCTTCCCCGCCATCCCCCCGCGGCTCCCCCAGCGCCCCCGATCCCGGGGTCTCCCGGCGGCCCCCCACCTGCAGAGCCCGCCGATGACCTCCTTCTCGGATTTCCTGAAGTGCTGCAGGGCCGGCACCTTGGGGGCCGGCACCATGAAGTACTCCATAACGGGGGCGGGGGGCCCGGTTCAGCCCAGCCCGGCTGGTCCCGGCCCGGTTCAGCCCCTCCCGGCCTGGCTCCGGCTTCTGCCCGCGGCCCAAGGCGGGAAACAGCTGGAGCGAGCGCGGCTCCCGCCCGCCGCCGCCGCTCCCCCGCCCGCCCCCGCCCGCCCGGCGCCGCCCCCGCCCCGCACCGGCCCCGCGTAAACAAAGGCGGCGGGAGGGGCCGCAGCGCGGCCGGAGCGGGACCGGGACACGCCGGCGGGACGCGGTGGAACACGGCGGGGTGGGGGGAGACCGGAGCGGCCGGGACGGTACCGACCCGTGCTGGCACTGGCCCGTCACAGCGCGTCCCGTCCTGACCTGGCTCTATCCTATCTTATCGTATCCTGCTCTATCCCTATCCTACTCTATCCTCTCCTATCCTATCACCATCCTGTCCTGTCCCCATCCCATCCCACCTCATCCCACCCGGCCTTGTCTCCATCCAATCTCATCTCATCCTACCTGACCTGTCCCCATCCCACCCCATACCCATCACATCATATCCTCATCCCATGCTACCTCATCCCATCTCGCCCTAGACCTATCCTATTCTATCCTGTCCTATCATACCCTACCTGACACCATCCTGTCCCATCCTGACCTGTCTCCATTCCATCCCACCTCATCCAATTCTGCCCTAGCTCCATCCCATCCTACCCTATCCTATCCTACTCTATGCTATCCCACTCTGACCTGTCTCCATTCCATCCCACCTCATCCCATCCTGCCCTAGCTCCATCCCATCCTACCTTATCCTATCCTACCCTATCCTGCTCTATCCTGTCCCATCCTGACCTGTCTTGTCTCCATCCCATCCAGCCCTCAGCACATCCTGTCCTCATCTGATCCTGCCCTAGTCCTATCCTATCCCATCCCATCCAATTCTATCCCATCCTGACCTGTCTTGTCCCCATCACATTCAGCCCCGTGCCCATCCAATCCTAACCCATCCTACCCTGACCTGACTTGTCCCCATCCTATCTCCATCACTTTCTATCCTCACTCCGTCCTAACTCATCCCATCCTGCCCTAGTCCTATCCTACCTCAGCCCATCCTGACTTGTCTTGTTCCCATCCCATCTCATCCTGTCCCATCCTATCCCCATCCCATCATCTTCCATACTTTCCAACCTCATCTGATCCTGTCCCATTCCATCCCATTCTGTCTTGTTCCCATCCTATCTTGCCTTATCCTCCTCCTGTCCCCCTCATTTGCCCTATCTCTATCCTATCTCTATCCTGACCTGTCTTGTCCCTATTCCATCCTGTCCTATCCTATCCTGTCACCATCCAATCCTCACCTATATCCAGCTTATGCCACCCCATTCTGCCTTATCCCCATCCCAACTTGTCCCATCCCGTTCTACCTCATCCTATTTCATCCCATCCCATCCTGCCCAATCCCCACCCCACTCTGTCCTATCCTACCCCATCCTGGCCTGTCCCAGCCTGTTCTACCTCATCTGATCCCATCGCCATCCCACCCCATCCCCATTCCTGTCTCCACCAGGCTGTGGGAGGGCTCAGGGAGTTGCCAGGGGCTGGGGGGGGCATCGCAGCAGCCTTGGGGCTCAGGGGGTTGGGGGTGACAGGGGTCGTGTCTGGCAGGGGGCTTTTGGGGGGAGGGGGGGCTCTGGGGGCTGGTGGGGGCAGTCAGGGGCTGGCGGGGGGCTTGAGGAGCTGATGGGAGGGTCTGAGGGCTGGCAGAGGCTGTGGGGGCTGGCAGGGGGGCACAGGCCTTGTGGGGGGGTTTGGGGGCTAGCAGGGGCACGGAGCTCACACCAGCGTTGAGGTTCAGGGGTTAAGGGGTGACAGGGGTCATATGGCTGGCAGGAGGCTTCGGGAGGCCTCTGGGGGGCTGCAGGGGGGCTCTGGGGGCTGATGAGGGTCTCTGTGGCTGGCAGGGGGCTTGGAAGCTGATGGGGGGTCTGGGGGGATGACAGATGCCATGGGGGGCTGGCAGGAGGGCACAGGGCTATCAGGAAGGTCTGGGAGCTGACAGGGGGGCACAGGGCTGGCAGGGGTCATGGGGGGCTGGCAGGAGCCATGTGGTACCTGAGGGACCTGCCTGTGGGGTCAGGGCCATCAGAGCAGGGACAACAGGGGGGCCGGGGGGTGGCCCGTCACCCGGAGGGGCAGGACCCGGCCCTGCAGAGCAGGGTGGGCTCAGCTCTGCCTCTCAAGTGCCCCCGGCCCGGCCCTGCCGGGAGCTGCAGGACAGGTTCTACCGGGCTGTCCCCTGGGCCCCCTGCCCCGTCCCCCGCGAGGGCCCCACTGCGGGGGCTGCACATCCCCCCACGGCACAGGGACCACCGTGAACCCCCTGTTTTGTAGTGGGACTGTTAGGGACACAACAGCTCCTCCCCCGCAAAAAAAAAACACGGGTAGGGTGGGATTTCTGTCACCTGCGTGGGACAGTGCTGCCCTCCCGTGTCTCCCCCCACTCGTGGCAGGGATGTAGGGGACACAGCAGCTCCCTCCGCCTCCCCCCAAAAAAAACCCCAAACCACGGGTAGGATGTGGCTTCAGCCACTAGCATGGGTCAGGTCTGCTCCCCAGTTCGTGTCCCCCTTCTGGGGTGTGGACGCTGGGGACACAGCAGTGCCCCTCCCAAAAAAACACCAAACCACGTGTGTGGTTTGACTTCAGCCGCCCGCGGGGGACAATTCTGCCTCCCACTCGCGTCCGACCTTTTGGGGTGGGGCTGTTGGGGACACAGCAGCTTTCTCTCCACCAAAAACCCCGTGTGGGACAGTGCAGCCCTCCCGTGACACCCCCCCCCCCCCCTTTCCTAATGGCCTGTTGGGGACACAGCAGCCCCCCCCCCCCCCCCCGCAAAGAAAAACCACGGGTGGGGTGTGACTTCTGCCACCCGCGTGGAGCAGTGCTGTCTCCCACTCGTGCGCCTCTTGTTATACAGCAGGACTGCTGGGGACACCGCAGATCTCCCCGCCAAACAAAAAACCCGCCTGGGGGCAAGGGTTTTTTCCCCCCCCATTTTGGGTGGGGGGGCCCTTGGGGACGCCGCAGCTGCATTCCCTCCCTCAAAACAAAATCACGGGTGGGGTGTGACCAGCCACCCGCGTGGGCCCCGGGGGAGGGACCCCCCCGGCGAGGCTGCAGCATCCGGGCCGGCCCCGCCACATCCTGCCGCCGGAAGGAGCCGCGGCCCCGGGACAACCCCCCACCGGTGACGTCATGCGGGGGCCCCCGCCAGGCGTGACGCCAGCCTCGCTCTGTGACGTCACGCGGCGGGCGGGCGGCGCCGCTCCTGCAGGGAGGGGGATCCCCCCACCCCCTTTTTCCCCGGTGTGACCCCCCCCTTCCCCCCCTCGAGCCGCCCCGGCGCGGGGTGGGGGCTCCGGGGGTTGCCGCCCCCCCGCCCCGCCACGTCCCCGGTGGGGACACGGACACGCGGGGGGCGGGGGTCGGCTGTGCCGCAGCGCCGGGGTGACCTTGTGCGGGGGGGTGGCGGGGGTCCCCCCGCGGGTCCCCCGCGGGTCCCCCCCGGGGCGGGGCTCGGTGCCCCCCGGTGCCCCCCGCGGAGGCGGGGAGGGGCCGCCGCCGCCCCCGCCCCCGCCCAGCGCCGCCCGCAGCCGGGGCCGGGCCGCTCGGTGCGGGGCGGCCATAAATCACGGCGGGCAGAGCCCCCGCCCCGCCGCCGCCCCCGGGACCGGGCAGGGGGGGCCCAGCCCCGCCGCCGCCACCCCCGCCCCCAGCCCCTGCGGATGTGGCGGAGCGGCTCGGCCGCCCCGCACCGGCCCCGGCACCGGCCCCGGGGGGCCCCGCTCCGCCGAGCCCCGCACCCCGCCCCGCTCCCCGCCTGGCTCTGAGCCCCCACCGCAGGTACGATCGCGCTCCGGGCGCCGCGGAGGGGAGGAGGATGATGAGGATGCTGCCACCGCCGGGGGAGGGGGAACCCTCCGGGGAGCCCCTTCCTCGCCACCCCGTGGGGTGTGGGGGGTCCCTTGGCACCTGCAGCCCCCCCGCCCTGGGAGCGGGTCGGGAGGGGACGTGGCCCCGCTGCACCCCCGGGGAGGTGAGGAGAGGGGACCCGCTGCTGCCCGGTGGGTGCCGGGGGGGGGGGGTGGCCGTTACCCGCTGTCCCCCCGCACCCCGGGCGGGTGTCCTGACCTTGGCCGTGGGGCGGGGGCTGCGGCGGGGACGTGTTGGGTGCCTCTGCCCGGCTGCAGCCACTCCCGGGGACACACCAGTGTCCCCACGGTGTGGGGAGGGCGAAGGGCTGGTATTGGGTGGGGGGCACAGGGCGGCCCCATCGCGGTCCCACCCTGACGGTGCCACCGCCGAGCAGCCACCCGTCACCCCCGTCCTCTTCGCGGGGTACACCTGGTCCCAATCATGGAAGGTGACAGTCCCCATCACGGGGGGTGACGGCCTCGTGGGGCTGAGTTGTGGGGTGGCCAACCCCAGGCTGTGCCGTTGAGGGGGGTTTCGGGAACTAGGTTGGGGTGACCCCCCTCCCTGAGGTGCCAGCAGCAGGGACCAGAAATTGTCCCCAGTGTCCCTGGGCACTGCTGCAGGGACTCGTTCCCTGCCCAGCATGGAGAAACCCTGCTGCTAGTGGCCACCTCCTCTTCTCCATGCCTTTGTCACCCTGCTGTTACCACCCCCGCCCCCCCCAGCCAGGGTCCCCGGGTCCCCCCATCCCCGTGCTGCTGCCGCACCCAGGGTGCTGATTTGCTGGGCACTGGGGACCACCCTGCTCCTGTCCCCGCGTGCTCCAGCCGTGTCCCCAGGCAGAGGTAGCAGGGTCCTTGCTGCTGATGGCACTGCTGTGGGGCTGCTCCCCGGAGGGTGGGTGGTGTCAGCCCCTTGCCAGGATCCCCACGACCTCCACATGCCTGGGAAGGGGGGACCATGGCACTGGCCTCGGCTTGGGGACTGCAACTCCAACCGTGGCCCCTCCTGGGGAAAGCTTTGGGGGCTGCCATCAGCCCAGATGGCAGGGGGGGACGGGTGCTGGGGACCACAGTGACAAGCTGGAGCCACCAGCAGGATGTGACCTCCCCCAGCCCCGGCGGGCA